TGTCTTTACGTTCCGTTCTAACTTTTAAACTCCTAAAACGATTTTGATGAATATAACTTTGTTGTCTTTATTGCGTTTTTAATATTTATCATGGATGTGTTTATAACGTGCTCAGAAACTAGACCAGCCGTAGAAGAAATACCAGTTGCAAAAAAAACTACGATAAAAATAAAGCATTAATTGCTTTTAATTGTTGTGTTCTAAAAACGGGTGACCTTTACTCGTGTGTAAACAATGTAAGAAGCGTCATCTATCAACATCCTAATCTTTTTTTTTTATTACTGCACAAGGCGGTAGCCTGCCAGAGTTATGTAATTCTTTTATCAGCGAAGTCATAGGCTTTTAGTTAGGGCTCGAATGCGTTCACACCAGCTCTTTGATTGATAATAATTTACGTATTTATTAACAGTCGACGGGAATTTCAATGAAACAGTTCAAAAGTTTAATTTTAGCAATGATAATTAGGAATTACAAATTAAATGGTCAACATATTATCCATTTTGTAAAATTTGTCCAGTTTCTAAAATTTGAAATCTGTTAAAATTTTTCTTAATAAAAAAAGTTGTCTTTTTTTATACAGCGTGTCGTTACCACCGCGACAATAAATGAACACACATATAGAGGATAACTTTTTAAAATTGTATTAAACATTTACATTCTTCAAACATCAATATTTAAGGAGTTATTAAATTTTCCAAAACAAACAATTTTAGGACACCCTTACGTATAAAACTGTAACGTAAAGTTCATTTGTAAAGGTCACAAAGAATATGAATGGGTTGAATGAATTTAAAAGAGACAAAACATACTGTTAGAAAGAGAGGCTTCCATTGCGAAGCTGTTACGCGAGTTGTATAGGATGTTACAAATTTTGTTTCTTTTTTACTTAATTAGTTTGTTTGAAATTTTTTTTTTTAAATTATGGATTTAGTTTAATGTTAATATTATTTTATGATTATTGGCAAGTAGCGTTAGACGTTTGTTCATTTATTGTCGCGATGGTGACGACACGCTGTATATACAATACTTTAACGCAGAGTTGAAAAGTTATACGTATGAGTATGTTCAAGTGTAATATGGAAAGTAAACACAGCGTTTGAGGACCATTGCGGTTCCAATTTCCAAATGGCATCGCTCCCTTGACAAAACACCCGCATCCCAGTTTTTTCACGAACGTTCTTGCGAGTTAAATTTGTTATAAAAACGTTCTTCTAACGCTTAAAAAAGAAATACACATTGAAGTATCAAGTGTGCAAATACAATTTCTATAAAAGCTGTTTATAATGACTTTTTATGAAGCACTAAAAAGATTATGCAGAATAAAAGCAAAATACTTGCTTATATGTCCCGATGCTGGGGAAAGTCCCCTATAAAGCGCGGCTTAGAAACACGAAGTTACGTTTTGACATTTATTACATATCTTATTTTCAACCGAGTTCAAAAAAGGAGGTTCTTTATTTGGTTGTATGTTTTCCTTTTTTTATATTTGCTACCTCAGAACTCAGTCATTTATGAACGGATTTTATTTTTACTTGTACATTGGGTTCAGTTTAGCTTCCATGTTCCATTGTAGATTCATATTAATTTTAATAAGTTGGTGTTTGGGACTTTGGAATCCAAGGATAAATCAGAGAACACAAATGTTTTTATTGCAGAAAAAAAATGCGTGGGGTGCTTTTTACGATATTTCCATTATGACTCTACTTTTAATTAGTATACTGTATATTATATTATATTATATTATATTGTATTGTCATTAAAATTTTATAACAATTGACCTGATTTAAAGCGTTCCTCGCTTTTGTACAATTTTTTTTGTTAATCACACTATTCATACTTTAAATTTATTGAAAATTATTTTCTTATGTTTAATTAGGTTATCTACAAAAGCGCGTTTTTTAGTTTCTTTAAATTGTCTCTAAAAATGTAATTGTTTTAATATACCTTTGGTGTGCAGGTGTCCTTACTATGTTTATGACAAGAATTTAAACTTATTTAAAATTTTCTTTGGCGACGTTACTTTACATGAAGCGTTTAGGTTAATCCAGCAGGTGTGTTTCTCTTGTCGTGTCTTCCCAAAAAATACTTTGCATTGGGCACAGGCGTTGTAAATAAAACTATTTTCTGTATCAGATAATAGTTTTATTTACAATACTTAGTAATCGTTAAACGCGCCGATGTAAGAAATTATTGGATTCATTGTAACATATCTAAGAATGAAAAAAATAATATTTTTGTACTTATGTACGCGCGTAAGAAATTACACTTCTCTCGTGTAAGAAAATAAAGATAACTAAAAATTTCCCCTGTGCCAGTGCTCTTTGTTGGTGAAAAAGACATTAAATGCAATCGATAACGGTTCAAAAAAATAACTTGGAACTATTGGTAAAAAAAAGTAAAGTAACAGCCTATACATGTCCCACTACTGGGCAAAGGCCTCCTCTATACAGAGGGTATCAGGGCATAGTCCACCACGCGGCCCCACTGCGGATTGGCGGACTTCACATATCTTCGAAATATTTTTTTTGTTATTATTTCGAAAATATGCAGGTTTCCTCACGATGTTTCCTTCACCGCGGAGCACGTGATAAGTCAGCACTTAAAGTTAAAAACTTCATTGGTGCCGGCACCGGGCATCGAACTCTGGTTGCTCGAGTATATTGAATTAAAGGCGAGCGCCCGGACACTGAGCTATCACGGCTCTATTGGTAAATGTCAAAAAATTGTTATAGGCTGCCACGGTAGTATCGTGAAGTTGGTCGAAGCTGGTCGCTTCGAAACCACATGTCGCTTTTTGGCTGCGTCGTAAAAGTTTCGCGTTAGCGCGCGTCGTAAAAATTTACTCGTAATTTTCCTAACGGGCCAGAAAAAGTATAACTTAAAAAAACTTAAACATGTAGATACTTCTTAGAAGACACACATCTCACTGACTCTATAGTGTTATAGAATACTGGACTGTAAATTTTAAAGTTTTTTATAGTGCTAATCTCTGCACCTAAGATTGAACATTAAAACATGTAGAAAAAGTACGAAAAGATTGTCGCCGCTGTGGGAATCGAACCCACGTCTTCGGCATTCGCGACCTGACGCTCTAGCCACTGAGCTAAACGGCTGATAGCCACAGCGACGAAAATCTTAACGCCTTCTTTCTACATTGTTGCCGAAGACGTGGGTTCGATTCCCACAGCGGCGACAATCTTTTCGTACTTTTTCTACATGTTTTAATACTGGACTGTTTTTATTTTGTCAGATCAGTTAACTGTTATTTTCTTGTTTGTATCGTACAAACAACATAATAACAGTTAGCAGATCTCCTTCAGACGTCCGCGTAGCTTCAAAGTCACATTGTCGAATAATTGGTTCAGTCTTTGTGGTTGGTTTTACGCGAATTGAATTCTTAATGCCTTCGCAATGAGGTTTAGAGTGGACTGTGCATCCAAAGTTAGTTTTAAGATTTACAAAAAAAATTATCGAAATTTACTATTGGGCGTTTAATGTTCGTTAGAATAGTAGACATATTGGTTCGATTATATGTTAATTTTGAACAGTTGATGTGAGTCGAGTAACCTACAATTGGCTGGATATGTCACACTGGCAAATATGACTATGTTATCACACATAGTGATTGTCTGCCAAATATAACCAAATACGCGAATAAAGGTGAAGCGCGAACGTTACTTTGTCAGTTTGCATTGCGAGTTTAAATTTCGCGTGGGCTCAGATGTAGCATAATCTATCATATAATCTGACAGCGACTAATGCTTTCTTCTAAAATAACTCGCTTCTAAAATAAAACTAACACAAATTCAGGTATTGCGTGGGTACTGAACTTTACGCTTAATATAAATTTTGATGGGTAGGAATAGATAAGGACCGGTGAGAGTTATTTCTCCATTTCAAAGAGGTAGTAGTATGGTTGTGAGAAAGAGTAGGGCGCTCCTGTACTTTTACTTCCAGCAGTTGTTACGACAAAATTTTCAGGGCAAGCGTTCACATCAATCTTTTATGAATTGTTATAAATAATAAATGAAACGTAGGTATATGAAGATATTTTTTCTATAAGAAAAGAAATTTACGTTGCTATCGGTCGATTAGAACTCCATAATTGATACACACATTTGTATATTGTCGAGTAAACCTAGGCTATCTAAAACTGAAAGTTTCCAATTAAGTAAGTTTTATTTTTAATGCAGTCGTTTTTAGTTTTACTTGTCTAAACGGTCGTGAAGGTCATCCAGAGGGGTGGTGCTACTGACAACTGTGTTTGGGCCGGTCTTAATGAACCGATAATCCACTTCCATTGGCAGTGTCGTCCGTTGTGGCATTCAAAGAAAGAGGTCTATGTTCAACAGTGGACGTCTTGCGGATGGTGATGAATTCAGTTCCTAGCATCTTCACCTGCAGGAGCGCTAGCACTAAACTGATGTATAGCGCCAAACATTATAAACTCTTAACTCTTACAAACTTATCTCATACTGACTGGAACTTATGTTTACGGATTTATCGAGTTTTTTTTATTTAATCGCGTTCATTCGACAGAGCCCCGTGACAGTGAACGCTGTAAGGGGTCCGAAATATCGGAAAATTATAATAAAAATAAAGGCGATAAATCCGTGTAAACATAGTTACATTTAGTAATGTGTGTGTAATGTGTGTAATCGCGTAAATACAAGAAATCGTTATGTAAACTTGTCTCTTTATTTTTAACCGACTTTAAAAGGAGGATGTTCTCAATTCGACTGTATTGTTTTTGTTTCTTACCGACTTAACCGAGTGAATCGATTTTGATGATTCTTTTTTTATTTGAAAGACGACATGGAATGCGCCGCGCTTTCCATCGATATCGTCTCATATCCATTTAATTGGTATTGGATCTTTGGCTCCGGAGATACTCGGGGAACTGCTGAAAACCTTATAAAATGGAATACAGAGCGAGATATTTTATGTCCGTTTTGTTTTTCGTTAGTACAAGAATGGTTATTAGATACGCCTTGTTTCAGTTGATGAGGCGTCTGCGTCAAGTCGTCGGACAGCGGCTCTTCGAGGCGATAATGAAGGCCACGTTCTACGGCCAGTTCGTAGCTGGCGAGGACCAGAACAAGATCCGGCCCACCATCGAGAGGTAATGGTCTGCACATTAACCGGTTAACCGGAATACCGGCAGCGGTGTTAAATTTTCCCACTTAATTGAACCTATCGAGCGAATTGACGAGCAGTAAAGTAATAAATAAATAAATACCGGACACAATTTCACACGTCTAGTCCCAAACTAAGCGAAGCTTGTACTGTGGACACTAGAGAACTGATAGGCATACTTAAACATACTTTTCTTTTGTAAATAAATACATATTATAGACATACAAACACGCAGACACTAAAACACTGTTCAACACACAATGTTTTCCGGTAGTGGGGATCGAACCCACACCCTCTGGCGCCTCACGCCAAACGGGTCAGTCAAATATAATAATAAAAAGGGTGAAACAGTCATTTACCATCCAAGATTAACTTGAATGTGACTTAGCCCTAAAGAAACTAGGCCAACGACTTGCATGTGGTCTCAACTTAGTAAAACTTCGTGCGTATAAAGGAATGCTGCCATTACTATATCTAACAGGGATAGAACTCTCTAGAATAGATGACTAACGGCCATTTAAGTGTCTGTACTAAACGTTACGTGCCGTTTTGAGAAATTGTTAAGCGATTCATTTGACGAGGCAGTTGAATTAACTTGTGCAGTGCAACATGATTCCATCTTACTTTATGAAAACCTATGGAATATACATAAAAAATAAATGCAACAAAAGTTATAGTTGGATAGCTTTTGGGGTACTTTCTCTTTCAAAACCTACTTCTGCTGTGGTATAAAATGATTACGTTCTTTATGAATAAACAGTATATTGGAACACATCCAGATCTAAAAATAATATGTAGGATCAATAAATACTTGCTCCATATAGAAACTGTTCTTTAGCAATGGCACCCACAGACGTAGCTTACGTTACACTCTTGTGTGTAATTTTTTCTGCGACTAAACAGTTTGTGTGAAGCAACCCACTTTTTAGTCATTAAAGACGTAACATTAATCCGATACATAGCTTGGCACGTGATTTATATTGTCCAAAACCTGTATTCCTTGCACATTTATATTCTTTATTCTGACTCCTATCAAACATCCGATTGAGCTATGCTTTGAAATTGTTTTAAAATATCGCAATTTAACGGCAAATGTGTTTGTAGGATCGATACAAGAAAATGGCATTAAAATATTAAATTTGTTACAGTTTCTTGCACGACTGTTCTCATGTAGGTAGGCAATAGAGTTCTTTTGTAAAATTTTATAATTGTACTTGTTTACAACACAACATTCATGAGAGCGTGTATTATGTTGTAGAGAGATGTTGATTCTGCTTCCAGTTTATATTTAGTCAGGTGGTGAGTGAGTCGCCGCGAATCAGGTATTAATGTGACAGTGATTTATCACTTCGGGAATCTGAAAACATCTACACACACAAAACTCATCGGTAGTACCGATGACTTTTGTGTGTGTACCGTATGTATCGTGTGTGTGCCGATGCGGTACACACACAAACACTACAGAAATACGATATTATTGAACAGTTGTTTGACAGTTATTACACGACTGTACCCATGGACCTCCTGCCAATATTTGCTATTAGGCAATATTTTTTATTTACTTAATCTTTCTTGCCAACCTTAAATAAAACGGACGGCGGACTTAATGCCCAAAGGGATTCTCCACCATAACCCAGTAATATATCGGCGTAAGAAAACCTGTTTGCGTTGTAAACGACCGAATAGTTACTTTTCACCAGAGTCCAAAAATATTTAATTCATTTAAAAAAATTTAGTTTAGAATAAACTATATTATAGATCTTAAGTCCATGAATTTAACACTGTTCATAGAATTTTCCTCTTTTTACACGCAACTTGTGAGACGTTACAACTTAATCGTAAATACTGAACAGAATAAAAAAAAATTATGCGGAGCTACCATACAACGGACATGATTTTATTGCCGTTTTTATAGATTATGGTACGGAACCCTTCTTGGGCGAGCCCGACTCGCACTTGATTAACAAGTTCAACAATAAATTAAGTTTAACACAGTCTAATGACATTCCATTTTGTATCTTACGTACCTCAAATCCTTGTCGTTTACATTACCTATTAGAAGTTGGGGTATTGTCTTTGTTCAAAGAAATGTCTTTTTAATTGGCTATGACGACTGGTTCGCGTTATAAATACCAATTATTTACACAACATTGTGGATACTGGCGAACTCCGCGCGGTGATTGCCAAATAGAAAAAAAAATGGTTTTGACGAGCAAATCGAGGCAAACGCTGGGTGGGAAGCGACAGACGGTGTTGACTCAAGGTCGAGTGTCTTACGCCCGGTTTCTGAAACACTGATCATCATATAAGTTAACTAATCAGCTGTCAAATGGCTTTTCAAATGTCATTTGAATTGCCAAAGGGATGGTTCAACTTTCTAAATTGATCTTCTTAATGATCAGAATGATCAATTAAAAGAGTTTAACCATCGTTTTGGCAACTAAATAACATTTGAAAAGCCATTTGATAGGTGATTAGTTAACTTTACGATGATCGGTGTTTCAAAAACCGGGCGTCAGTCTTCAAAGAATTTGGATACGCATATTATGTAAGACTACTTTAGCATCTGGGTCATGTACGACTAGTATGGACTGGAAATACGCGCGTTTTAAGTTAATTAATAGTAATTCATTCTAATTGCGAAGCTATGGCGTGCGATGAGGTCTGTTTTGTTCTAGGCATGAAACGATTATTTATCTCTTTCATTCTTTTCATTTCGAAACTAAAGATCATTTTTAAACATTACTACAATACGTAAGATTGTATAAGAATTAGTTGGTTGCTGCTCTTAAATATTAGAACTATTAATGCGTATATCATTAGTTCGGTAAGAGGAAAAGACCATAGTCTGAAGGCTAAAGGAAACTATTATTTGATGAAGATGAAATATATTATCTTCAAGGCAAGAGTGAATTTTACTGAGCTAGATTGTTACCTCACACTAGCTGCGATTACCAGATTGGTTGGTGTTCGACCGCTGGGCAGTCAGGCAGTGGTAGGGCCACCCAACTGTCTTCGCCGTGGCACGAATGGGTAGGTCCGTCCGGGGAAGTACCACGACCTCACAGAATACCGCCGTGAAGTAGTTCATACTTCTGCGTTTCGTCTGATGAGTGAGGCAGCCGGAGTCCTTTTTATTGACAGGTGACAAGCAACGCATCTGTAACTCTATGGGTGTTGCAAATGTCAATGGGCGGCGGTTTTCACATCAGGTGAACCACCAGCCCACTTGCCATCTTCTCCCATAAAAAAATAAATTGAAAGAAAAGCTCGAAAAAAGTTAAAGCCTGAGATAGATGAGTCGAAAGAGACACGCGAGTAACAATTTGTATGTAACAATTTTGTGAATGAATGAATGAATGAAATGTCTGCTTCCGTTACAGCCGTTTCACTTAGGAGTTGCTTGATCGTTTGCGGTCTGTCATTCGAAACTGATTGCTGCATTGTCTTGACCGTTCGCAGCGCAGACCGCTTGAGCATCGGAGACGGACGTCTTCTTATACACGAGAATGTGCTGTGAGGAATTATATTCCATTGGATGCGCACATATTACATTTTCATCGTGGGCAAAAGTCGCGTAAATTGGCTAGTGTATATGCAGTAAATCTAGATAGACGAAATCAAAATCAAAAGTCTTTATTCAACATAGGAGCATTACACTCGCTTATTGCATAGTCAAAACACTACCACCGGAAAAGAAAGCCACTGTACTGAGAAGAACCGGCGAAAGAAACTCAGCGAGCTTTTTTTTTTTCTATAAGCATTTTGACATAAATTCATAAAAAATGCAATATAAGAACTCCGATTGAAAGAGCCTGGAGCGATCAGTTCATTACCAGAGTGTGTTATCATTTAAATAATCATTAATATTATAGTAGCCTTTAACATACAAACGTTCTTTTACTATTTTTTTAAATTTAGCTATTGATGCATTTTGACGCAAATTGCACAATCAATTCTTAAGCCACAATAAGTTCGAGCTTTACGTTATCTGTACGATTGCTACAGAAAAAAGTTTATTCTAAGAATGAAACATAATGAGTCACGCTTCGAATATGTTTTAGTCAAATGTAGACTCGATGAATCGAGTAATACGATGACGTAATATATGGAAAGGAAGGAAAATAGCGTGTAAAATCACATATACGACACGCATTTTAGCACGTGACAAAATGCGAACAACCATGCGTACGAGCATACGATCACACGAGAATAATCACGCACACGCGCGGAAACAACCCAACACATACGCGTACATCCACAAATGCAGTCAGTGGCTCACCTAAAAGAGCGTGCATACCTCACGAAACCCAAGTCAAAATCAAATTACGACTTTGACTTGGGACATGCGGGCAAGCACACAATCACATGAACATTATCATGCACACACACGTGAACAACCCTACACGCACTCGTACACCCATACATGCTCATCTACAAGAGCGTACCTCACGAAATCCAAGAAGACCGCATCGCCTGACCGCCGAGGCATATCCGCTTTCGACTTTCGCCTAATTAACTTTGGCAAATTTCGTTTCAGATTGCGCTCGTTCGGAGTGAAGTCCATTTTGGACTACTCCGTGGAGGAAGACCTGTCGCAGGAGGAGGCTGAGAAGAGAGAAGTCAGGTAACTAAATTGGTAATCCTGCAAAAGTAATTAAATGGATACATTTATATACTTTCAACAATTGCAGCATACTGTTAACTTGTTAAAGTTGTCATTGCCCGCACTGTGATCAGCGCGTATTATAGTAGTTACGAGATGATATCGATTTACGGCATTGCATTCATTTAGCTTTAAATTTATTTATGTCTAGTGAAGTATTTAAGTCATCAGGATTGAACATAGAAGTTTTTTTTTTTCCTTATATTTTAATACTGGTCAAGTGGAAATTGAAGACTGAGGCTAATTGCGGCAAATATATGAGTATTTGAACTTTTTAGAGCCTTAGATACGCGAGTGATCCATTTCGCTCAGAGCCGGTACTAGTGCAGATACTTGGTAAAGGTACATATATCGAGCAGTCACGTGGTTGGCAGTGAAAGGAGTTTGCGCCGAGACGTAAAAATGTTCAAATACTGTGCCGCCATCTACTAGATGTAGTTTGCCTAGATACAAATGACATACTTGTCGAAGGTTGACCACGTGAGCTTCCTTACAACTTAGAATGATGTACTGTAGTTTACATTTAGTTACATAATGGCTACAATGTCTGTACGCCGGGACGCAGAAGAATAGAATTAGATTATGTCATTACCGACGCGTCTCGTTTAAATTTGGAACGTATGTATTGTAACTATGTATTTTAATGAGTCGAGCAGAACATGCCAGTAATTTCTTTACTTTTCGACCGACTTCAAAAAAGGGGGTTATTAATTCGGTTGTGTTTTATCTGTTAGGTTTTTTACTTCGGATTTCGTCGTTAAAAATCATTTATTAATTATATTGGGTTCCATAATAGCTTGTTGATTGAAATTATAGATAGTAGATACCCCAGAGAAATCCTCAAAATCAAATAGAAAAAGTGTAGAGAGTGAGATATTTGAAGTCAGTTTTGTAAAAGAAAGTGTTTGTGTTATTTTTAATATTCTATTACTTATTTTTCTTCTCTATACAATGGTGACTTTTTAGTGCACTCTTTTCAATGTTCACGTTTCAGTCACCAAACGTGAAAGAGACAGTGATACCACGGTAAAGGGAAGTATGAAGAGTACAAGCGATGTTGGAATCTCGTGCGATTTTCCCATTATTGTGTTGGAACAAAGTAGTTGATTTACAATGTCTAACGAAGGGTGACCATAAAAATATGTTTCATAGACAAGTCAATTTGCAAACGATGCATCGCCTATTATTTTCCTTCTGTCAGTCGTAACTTTCACTAAGCTATTAGTAGCTATTAAAGAGATAAGTGTAATCAATAAAAATGATGCAAAAAATAATATGAAAATGAATTCTGCAAAGTGGTGGACACTTTTGGAAATAGATTCCTCAAAACGTGCGAATGTATTTAGCGCTGAAGAGTATTTAGCGGTGTATCCATGCAACTTGTGTAATCTTTTACTGTGGTAGGGCCACGCATCACTTCTGCTGTTGCAAGAATGGGCAGGTCCGTCCCGGTAAGTACGACGAACTCACAGAAGACCGGCGTGAAGTGGAAGTGTTATACTTCTGCGTTTCTGGAGAGTGAGGTATCCGAGCCCACTTTTTTAATGGTTGGCAATGCATCTGCAACCCCTCAGGTGTTCGATGCCCATGGGCGGGGGAACCGCTTAACATCAGGTGAACCGCCACCTCGCTTGCCAGCTTTTCACAGAAAAAACAATTACATAGGCAATCTCATAGGGACTGCCGACAGAAGTCAAACCATGAAACTTTATAACGTTTGATTAAAATTGTATAATATTTAATTGTACATATTTTATAGGCACTTTGAATGATAATAACACTATTTATATCATACATAAAGAAAGAAAGAAAAGTTTATTTGGTACATAAATAAATGAAAATTGTTTACAATTAAAAGAAATACAATTTAAATGCACCAAATAGGCTTCCACTCAGCATGAGTTCACGGAGTTAGTAAACTTCGTGAATGCTGATTTTCAGTGGAACCGTAAACGTAATAAATAATTCAGTCAATGTATATGGGATAAAGCGGAAAAGTAATAAATTTATCAGCTGTTTGCAAGTAAATCAATACAGTTTTTGTTTATGCTATTCTCAATTTAATTCAAATCCGCGTAGAGGGAAGAGAGGTATTTCCCGATCTTGGGAAACTGTGGCAGGGCTACTCAGCATCTCTACTGAGTAGCCCGCAACAGTCCACTCGCAGAATGATAATAACACTATTTATATCATACCCATAACTACAAATATATTTCTTTTATTATTCCTTTTTTATTCCTTTTTTAAAAATAGCTCACGTTACGCGTTCGGTGACGATGACGCGTGTTCCATGATTTTTGTTCGCCAAATAGTTCTCAGTTATAAAATCTTGTTGCTTTGCAAAAGCGCCAATGATCCGTCTCCATACAATGAAAGTCTCCAAAGAAACTATGATCATGGACAGACAGACCATAATCTTTTGGCCTTCGAGCCGATTTCAAAGACATTCGTCGCTTGACGCCACTGGCAATTGTTCTTGTCTGTTTCGTCTCGGCTCATAATGAACAAGGCGGCCTTGAGTATATTAAAAAAACGCTAATCATGATTGTCTACCAAACTATATAGTCTGTACAATGTCTCGGATATCTTTGGAACAAAGTTCCTTAACGTGGCTTGCGGGAAGTGTGATTTGGTACAAATCGTCACGCAACGAACAAGACACCTCCATTAGATCTGCTCACTCTGTCTCTCTCTTACACGTATTAGCCGTCTGAACGACATAGTGCCGGTGAAAACTAGTTTTTATTTTAAATACAAATGCAGTTTCTTTAGGATTCCTTGGTTTATTTTTTATTTTTATTACTCTTCATCATTATCGTCATCATTTCAACATGTTTTTAGTCGAGTGCTGGACATAGGCCACTCCCACATACTGCCACGAAACACAATCCTGAGCATGCCACCCGAATCCATCGACTTCCCGCACATTTGCACAGGTCGTCACTCCGTCTAATTTCTATTTGTACTTTTAAACGCTGTCAATCTATTTAAATGTGAATGTTATTCAATGCATAATGTACAGCGAAAGTAAGTCAGATCCAACTCTTGTATCTGTGATAGAGCTACACATCGTGCTACCTACCAGTGCTTTTGCCTTGATGCTCTAGTCCCGAGAAAGTACCATGGCCTTGAAAAGACGTCCTGGACCGTCGAATGTCCAGAAACGTTCTATATTTTCCTGTCCTCAGATGATGAAGAAGGATGCTAAGGTTCCGAGTACGTATATGTAAAGGTTGAGCTCCGCTTTGCCTGGTTACAGCACAGGGCCAAAGACATTTTTATGTCAGGATGTACGCGTGCTGTCTTGATATAAATTAAAATTAAATTCTGAATTGGAATCAATATGAAAAGGAATCTCGAAAGAATTGCTCGTTAGCCGATTTATCTTTAAAAAAAGATTATTTCATTTTTTGTCGTCTGCCTCCCATTAGTCGATTTATAGAACTCGCCAATCTGGGCTCCGCGAAACGTTTCACGATCTTCAAAAGGACAAAAAGGCCTTTGACGTCAAAGGGACGCCTATAACTGAAAGAGCTTTCTTTCGCCTCTTATTTTTTTTTTCAGACTGCTCCGTTTTGGGGTTATAATTTAGAATAAGTTTGGTGGAAGAAACGGGTTATTTTATTTTGTTTAAATAATAGGACAAATTCAAGGTTAAGGATTATGTAAAAATATGAAGTAAATTTATGGTGTAGTAAGAAAAAAGAAAGAAAGAAAGAAAAGTTTATTTGGTACATAAATAAATGAAAATTGTTTACAATTAAAAGAAATACAATTTAAATGCACCAAATAGGCTTCCACTCAGCATGAGTTCACGGAGTTAGTAAACTTCGTGAATGCTGATTTTCAGTGGAACCGTAAACGTAATAAATAATTCAGTCAATGTATATGGGATAAAGCGGAAAAGTAATAAATTTATCAGCTGTTTGCAAGTAAATTAATACAGTTTTTGTTTATGCTATTCTCAATTTAATTCAAATCCGCGTGGAGGGAAGAGAGGTATTTCCCGATCTTGGGAAACTGTGGCAGGGCTACTCAGCATCTCTACTGAGTAGCCCGCAACAGTCCACTCGCAGAATGATAATAACACTATTTATATCATACCCATAACTACAAATATATTTCTTTTATTATTCCTTTTTTATCTTTTTTAAAAATAGCTCACGTTACGCGTTCGGTGACGATGACGCGTGTTCCATGATTTTTGTTCGCCAAATAGTTCTCAGTTATAAAATCTTGTTGCTTTGCAAAAGCGCCAATGATCCGTCTCCATACAATGAAAGTCTCCAAAGAAACTATGATCATGGACAGACAGACCATAATCTTTTGGCCTTCGAGCCGATTTCAAAGACATTCGTCGCTTGACGCCACTGGCAATTGTTCTTGTCTGTTTCGTCTCGGCTCATAATGAACAAGGCGGCCTTGAGTATATTAAAAAAACGCTAATCATGATTGTCTACCAAACTATATAGTCTGTACAATGTCTCGGATATCTTTGGAACAAAGTTCCTTAACGTGGCTTGCGGGAAGTGTGATTTGGTACAAATCGTCACGCAACGAACAAGACACCTCCATTAGATCTGCTCACTCTGTCTCTCTCTTACACGTATTAGCCGTCTGAACGACATAGTGCCGGTGAAAACTAGTTTTTATTTTAAATACAAATGCAGTTTCTTTAGGATTCCTTGGTTTATTTTTTATTTTTATTACTCTTCATCATTATCGTCATCATTTCAACATGTTTTTAGTCGAGTGCTGGACATAGGCCACTCCCACATACTGCCACGAAACACAATCCTGAGCATGCCACCCGAATCCATCGACTTCCCGCACATTTGCACAGGTCGTCACTCCGTCTAATTTCTATTTGTACTTTTAAACGCTGTCAATCTATTTAAATGTGAATGTTATTCAATGCATAATGTACAGCGAAAGTAAGTCAGATCCAACTCTTGTATCTGTGATAGAGCTACACATCGTGCTACCTACCAGTGCTTTTGCCTTGATGCTCTAGTCCCGAGAAAGTACCATGGCCTTGAAAAGACGTCCTGGACCGTCGAATGTCCAGAAACGTTCTATATTTTCCTGTCCTCAGATGATGAAGAAGGATGCTAAGGTTCCGAGTACGTATATGTAAAGGTTGAGCTCCGCTTTGCCTGGTTACAGCACAGGGCCAAAGACATTTTTATGTCAGGATGTACGCGTGCTGTCTTGATATAAATTAAAATTAAATTCTGAATTGGAATCAATATGAAAAGGAATCTCGAAAGAATTGCTCGTTAGCCGATTTATCTTTAAAAAAAGATTATTTCATTTTTTGTCGTCTGCCTCCCATTAGTCGATTTATAGAACTCGCCAATCTGGGCTCCGCGAAACGTTTCACGATCTTCAAAAGGACAAAAAGGCCTTTGACGTCAAAGGGACGCCTATAACTGAAAGAGCTTTCTTTCGCCTCTTATTTTTTTTTTCAGACTGCTCCGTTTTGGGGTTATAATTTAGAATAAGTTTGGTGGAAGAAACGGGTTATTTTATTTTGTTTAAATAATAGGACAAATTCAAGGTTAAGGATTATGTAAAAATATGAAGTAAATTTATGGTGTAGTAAGAAAGAAAGAAAGAAAGAAAAGTTTATTTGGTACATAAATAAATGAAAATTGTTTACAATTAAAAGAAATACAATTTAAATGCACCAAATAGGCTTCCACTCAGCATGAGTTCACGGAGTTAGTAAACTTCGTGAATGCTGATTTTCAGTGGGACCGTAAACCTAATAAATAATTCAGTCAATGTATATGGGATAAAGCGGAAAAGTAATAAATTTATCAGCTGTTTGCAAGTAAATTAATACAGTTTTTGTTTATGCTATTCTCAATTTAATTCAAATCCGCGTGGAGGGAAGAGAGGTATTTCCCGATCTTGGGAAACTGTGGCAGGGCTACTCAGCATCTCTACTGAGTAGCCCGCAACAGTCCACTCGCTTCTGTCCGGGGAAGTACCGCAGAAGGCTTTTTTTTTGTACCGGTGAGGGGGGGGGGGATCTTCAAAAGATACCCTGTCATCTTACATGACATTCGGTGGGACCCCGGGATGGCCTATGGAACGCACCGGTGTCGCTCGGTACTGGGCGTGAGCACGCCTCGGAGAAGGGTAAATCTTTCCCAATTCCCTCGCCATCTTGCAGCACCCTGGACATCTGCTACACCCGATGGTTCTAGATGCGTTGACAACATTTTGAAAATTGGGCTCCGGCTACCTCACTCACCAGATGAAACGGGAAAGTGTTTTACTTCCACTTTACGCCGGTCTTCTGTGAGGTCGTGGTACTTACCCGGACGAGCCTGCCCATTCGTGCAACAGCCGAGGCTGCTGCGTGGCCCTACTACCGTCAGACGTCCCTTTTTAGTCGCCTTTTACGACAGGCAGGAGATACCTTAGTCCTATTCTAAGAGTCCGGGACTACATGGCTGACCGCAGAAGACTGGCGTGAAGTGGAAGTGTTATCCTCCGTATTTCGTCTGTCGAGTGATGTAGCCTGAACCCTCTTTATCGAAATGTGGCAACGCGTCTGCAACGCTACGGGTGTTGCAAGTATCCATGGGCGGCGGTTATCACTTAACATCAGGTGAACCGCCAGCTCGTTTGCCACATTCGGACATTAAAAAAAAAAGCAAATATTTAGAAGGCAAATGGCCTCGTTAGTGATTCCAAATTGAGACTCAACCTTCTTTTGTTTCCGTTTGTCTCCGATATCCATACTAATATTATAAATGCGAAAGTAACTCTGTCGGTCTGTCTCGCTTTCACGCCAAAACTACTGAACCGATTTAAATGAAAGTTGCTCTAGATCTGTGTACCACAGATCTAGAGCCTTAGAAAGGTCATAGGCTATTTTTTTATTGGAAAAAAAGTGTTATAAAGGGTTGAAACATATTTATTTAAGGGCTACAACGCGAGCGAAGCCGCGGGCGCAAAGATAGTAAATAAATAAACCTATAACATTGTCTGTCCCACTGAATGCAACGTTTCAATACGGCTTCCCCAGCCGCGAAGGCGCCAGCCTTTGCGGCTAGACACGTGGCGATCCAAATTAATCTTTATTTTAATAGTAATACAGTTGATGATGAAACGAGTGGCGAGAATAGTTACGGAGATATATCACAAGTGGTTACGTCACGACGTCAACGCGTATAATTTAATTTTGCTCCCGCTGTGTGATTTATTGTTCGACGCGGGCTACATAGATTATAATTTGATCATATGTGGCTTAACATATGATTTCAATACGCGAACATCGGTAATTTATGTCCCTCTTAGATTATTGAAGACGAGGGATGGAATTTGTGCTACACGATGCCATAGATTTCTTGAAAAATCAAATAGCAAGTACAAGCTTTGCTTAGTTTGGGACTAGGTAACGTTGTGTTTTAATGTCTTTAAAAATTATTTATGACATAGTGAAGACAGTAACAAAGCTCGGCCTAAAAACGTCGCTCCATAGAATGGGGAGTATTGCCGACACCGCGCAAATTTTTCTAAGTGACAGCGTAGGTGGGACCGGTGCCAAAGTATTAATTATATTTACATTTTTTTCGGGTCACCTAGATACGGCTGGATAATATATCGACCACTCTAAACTGATCCTTTGTGAATAGTTGGTACGTCAAAGAATTGTTTGCGCGAACCAGTGTTTGTAGGGTCCAACAAACGTTGGTTCATGCCGCAAGCACGCCTTGCGGTGAAAAAGTTCGCGGAGCAAATTTTTTGTTTCCAATTAAATTAATATCCGCCTTATGATCGACGTTAGTGGGTCGAATAGTATAGACCCATTGATTGGCAGTTTCGTTTTTATTAAAGTAGATAAACAAAAAGTTGGAACATAAGAAACAAGAATGAAACAAAGAAATAAGAACATGAAAAAACACGTCCGACATGTTACTTAGTGGTGGTCTAACGCCCGGTTTCTGAAACACTGATCATCGTAGGTGTCAACTAATCAGCTATGAAATGGCTTTCCATTTTAAATTTCATTTTAGTTGGTAAAAAAATGGTTAAACTCTTTGAATTGATCATTCTGATAATTAAGAAGGTCATTCTGGTCAATTTTGAGATTTTTTTTTATCATTCATCATTCTGGTAACTAAAATTAAATTTGAAAAGCCATTTGAAAGTTGATTAGTTGATATCTACGATGATCAGTGTTTCAGAAAGCGGGCGTAAGAGATTGCAAACTCCATCAGCTTATAGTTACTGTTAATGATACAATCATCGTACGTTTCGCTTCAAGGATTGAGATCATATTCATGCAGTGTATTTCTTTTGTATAGATAATGGTTCATAATAACGCTAGGATAATGTCACCTGGCAGATAAGAGCAGAACGTTTGTCAGGCCAAGCCAGATAGCATTCGATTCAAGTTGATATTTATTAACAAAAAACAAAACTAAATTCAAATATCTCACTCACTTTACATTTTGTATTGTATTTGGAAGTATAGCCTGATGTATCTCCAGAATTTATGGTCCAACCAATGAAGTTAATATGGGACCATGTGGAGGCTAAACCGAAATCAATGCAAAGAAAGAGGGAGCTTTTAAAATCGGTTAATAAATAACGGAGCTTTTTGGTAAAAAAATATAAAGTAATAAAACCGAATTGAGAACCTCCTTTTTTAAGTCTGTTGAAAACTAGCAGAAGATACGTGTGTGCCGCCGCTCACAAATGTTCATCTGGCAAATCTCCAGAAATGTTTGTTTCTATCAATGTGGCTATGGAATCTCACTCGTAAAGCACACTACGGGTCGCCGTAAAGTTGAAACTTTTTCCCGCATACGTGCAGTATTTTTCCCATCCATACATTTTACATTTTTTTATTACCTGATGTTAAGTGATAACCACCGCCCATGGGCTTTTGACCCATAGGGTTGCAAATGTGTTGCCACCTTTATATTTAAAGTGTGGGCCCCGCCTCCCTCACGCATCAGACGAAACGCAGAAGTGTAACACTTCTGCTTTACGCCAGTCTTCTGTGAGGTCGCGGTATCTTTTCCCTTAACCTATCGTTAAAAATGCGACCCTAAAACGACCAGATAATTTTCACTCATGATAATAATTAGATCCATTTCAGACGGACCGGTATACTTCAAGCTACAAGCGCTACAACAAAGAAACGATAGACAACATTCTTGTTCCCATTAGGATATTCGAATTGTTTAGGATTCGGATTTAATCTTTACAGCGCCTCGATATCCGCTTGCGGCGACAAGCAAGAGGAGGGTCAGCTCAAGCAGTACCACGTGGAGCAGCGCTTCGCTGACCGTCGGTACAAGGTGACCAGCGCCCGCACCTACTTCTACCTGAACGAGGCCTCCTGCGAGAAGAACATGGAGGCGTTCCTGAGGAGCATCGACGCGGTTGCTGGTGGGTCAAAGTTGCCAAGCGAGCATACGGTTCACCTGATGTTAAATGAACACCGCCGCCCAGGGACATCTACTACACCCGAGGGTACCAGATGCGTTGACAACCTTTTGAAAATCGTCATTAGACGAGGTCGACAGATCTGTAGTCCCTGCTATAGAATATGGCTTGTGGGTCATTCAATAATACGGAGGCAGTGTCTAAAGTGAAAGTCTGATTCGCAAGGCCAGTATGTAATACCGCAGGTTGCTTAAATAAAAATGCGTGGTTCGATTCCCACCCGGGACAAGCATTTGTATGACCTTCAGACAGTTGTTATTGTTTGTAAAAATAAAACTGTCAAACAATGGCAATTAAAATGGTTTTGGAAATTTCGTATGGTTATTTATTAATGGCTTCCGATTCCGTTTCAGGAATTACCAAGAGTACTGGTCTGATGGCGATTAAGTTGACCGCCCTGGGAAGACCTCAGTTACTCGTAAGTGTATTATTGATATCATAGTAAAGTGCAATCTTAGCATTGAGTTAGAATGTGAAATACGGAGTCACTGTCTATGTAATTCAGATTCACAAGGATTCATGCGATACTGTGGGGTGCTCGAATAATAACGCTCTCGATTTTCCACTCCCAGCTTCAGCTGTCGGAGGTGATAATGCGGGCACGGAACTACATGCAGCAGATCGCCGGCGGCACGGGCAACGTGCTCACCCACCACAAGACCATCGAGGACTTCCAGCGCTACTTCGGCGACCACAGCTCCAAGCCTGAGGTGCAGGAGTTCATGCGCAAGATCACCTCGGACAAGGAGGGGTGAGTGGCCTTCGCAGTCTGATGACGACGAGTCCTACCTTCGTCAGTCATCGTCCTCCTGCCCTTATTCCATCTAAGTGGTGACCACTAAAAGTCCTTTCGCAGTCTGATGACGACGAAAGTCCTACCTTCGTAAGTCATCGTCCTCCTGCCCTTATTCCATCTAAGTGGTGACCCCTTAAAGTCCTTCCGCAGTCTGATGGGACGGAAGTCCTTTACTTACCTACGAAAGTCATCATCCTGCCCTTATCCCATCAAAGTGGGGTCGGCGCAACATGTCAATTAGGTTTTGGCTAGGATTTTTACGATCAATCCACTGCTTGACGTAAACCCTTGGTAGAAACAGCCAGATCCGAAACGATTATCTGTGGGTCCGGGAATCGAACCCACGACCCTCGGCGCCGAAGCCAATACCTCTGCGCTACTGGGTTACCTTCGAAAGTCTGAACGAAACTCCTTTCGAAGCGTCACATTAATTTCGGGTAGCGGGAATTCACCACTTTAGCTTAGTTTTGCTCATACCATAGGCCAGTAATTTGCTATGGTAATTTTAGAGCGTCCCCTTAATTCGGACCGTGGTTGTGATCGTGTGGACCTTTTAGCATTTGAGTTAATGCCGACTGGGTACTATAAGTTAAGGGCGCGGCCACATTTGCACCGAAATGGATTTATATAAGGTCGATGCTACACAAGACCATACTTTTGACCGACCTGTTTACATATAGACGATTGTGGCACGACAATAAAAAAAGATGGAGGGTTGTGTCGGAGGAAATTGATGGCAGATTCAGTTCATTTAGCGAGCGAAACTTGGTCGACAGGAGAAGTGTCGAAAGTTATTTGTAATGCCGACTTAATCGTGTGAGTCCAAACTGTTATTATTCTGGTGCCGAGCTTTGAGGTTGTGGCGGTGATATGAGGGTGTGATGGTGTTTCAGCGTGCTGCACATATTCCCGTGGGACCGGTCAGTCGCGACGGCTTGTAGATTCGTAAGGGTTGTCTCGTAACGCTAACTCCAGACCGCCGAAGGAATTCCGATGTGTTTAGTGTTTTGCTGCATTGTTCCACTAGTGAGATTAGCCTCTACTCTTCGTACAGGGCGGAGCAGCCGATCTGGCGGTTCCCTTGACAATCGCAACGCGCGCAGGGTTGCAGATGCGTTGCCATCTTTTGATAAAGTGGGCCCCGGCTAGAAGTACAAGTGTAACACTTCCACTCTTCGCCGGTCTTCTGTGCGGTCGCGGTACTTACCCGGACGGACCTGCCCATTCGTGCAACAGTAAACTGATGCGTGGCCCTACCACAGAACCTGACCACACGGAGCTCCTTCATGAGTCGATTCATTTTCATACGTTGTTTGGCTTATAAAAAGGCAGTGTGAGAATTTTTCTTTTCTTCAAGAGTGCCGCCAAGCTGCGTGCTAGCTAGGTCCGACGGATCATTGTGTGGCTTTGCTTAGGGGGTTATTTTATAAGCCCTTTGCTCGCCGGAAGACATTGGCTCATAAAATGCGTAATATCCAATGAATAAGGGATATAACTGGAAATCTGTTACTACTTAAATACCCAAAACTGTCTTATGAGAAGGGAACTGGATGTTTTTACAATCGGGCGCCACGACCATATAGATATTGAATAGTTTTATACCGTTTTTGAATACGTTATTTCATAATGTTGCTGCGTAGATGGGTCCGTCTGCGCTAATTACATCTTAAAAATCTGTCTTTGCTAAAAGATCTAAACATTACTTATAGCAAAATAGTTTATTTATTTTTCTTACACCAACAAGATGAACACTAAAACACAATTTATACGTAATATGTTAATAACGGGCTTGGTGAGTGCCATCTCCATTGTAGGTGTAAACCACAATGCTTTAAATTTAACAACACAAGATCTTAAAAATATTAAAATATTAGTATCACTTATGTCTAATGTATGTATCTATTTAATTGAACTAGAAGTAAATTCTGTGGCGCACTCAGTAAAAACTAATCAACAATAATCATTCTGACTCAAAGTTAATTTATGAAATAACTATCCGAATATTTCTAACGTCATTTAATGATGTCTTTAAGATATAAATTAAAATACATACTCCTTTGTAAGTAATTGTAAAAGAGACGCGGTAAAAAATATGATGCCAAATTATGTTGTCTTCCCCGTTCAAAGGACGTCCTGTGGTAGAGTGAATATCAACCTAGCACTATTATGGGAAAATCGCCTCCTGAATTGAGTGTCATTCATCATTTGTTCAGCTAACTGATTTATGGCAGCAATGGACAAAAGCCCTAGTGTATCGGTGTACGTGTTTATATGTTGCTTTTTTATTGCTATACATATATTCCAGCTGTGTTTATCTACATGTGCTAAATTGTTTTTCTTCGTTTTATTATTGACAACGATATCGTTAACAGAAGTAGACACTAGATAGTACTAACACTTTAAAATCGTACTGTGTATGTACGATTTGGTGACATCATACAGTTCACAGTCTTTTCGACATGACTGCAATGGGCTCACTACTGTTATAAGTATGAGCCCATTTATAATATTCATTAATGTTATTCATCAAACCAACCCTCATTGCTGTTATTGGAATCATATTTCAAATCAACGTAGACAAACGTCAAAGTAAATCTAACGGTTTCAATATTCAATCTATCTGTAGATTTGGTTACTAGCGATAGGTATTTGACATTAGCTCCATAGTTCTCATGTCAAAATTCTATCTCCAATAAACAAATCTAAAGAAAGATAGAATATTGAAACCGGCCGTTAAACGATCCTTTTTTAGCGTGTTCATTCTTTCTAAGCAATCCATTTCTTTACTCTGAATCGTTTCGATCGGACATTACAAATTGTAATTTCGCCTTTGTGCATTCATATAGTCAACATCCATAGACCATTACTTTGATTTTACTTTAAATCTTTATCAAATTACAACTATGTTTTAAACAGACTTCAAAAAAGGAGCTCTCAATTTGGTTCCATTTTTTATGCTTGTTACCTCAAAAGTGACAATTTTAAAAATTCTTTTTCTCTAGGGTTTTTAGGATAGTGAGGTATTTTAAGTAACTTTTTATCGGAATGTTTTTTTTTATTATATTTGCTACGTATATTTTCTCTTTTGTTTTGTATAAAAACATTATAAAAATATTCAATAGATCTTTTAGAGAACGTTTCCTCACTTATGAATAACGGTCAAGTATAAGGGTTTCATTACAGCAATTCCTATTATTACTATCATAGTAGGCATCAATATAAACTACGAAGGGGCTAAAAATATATTCTCAGGCCTGCAACGGACGAGGGTCTATAAAAACTACAGCTGTGTTTTTTTTTCTTTTTATTTAAACATTTTCCTTACTTAACATTATCCTGTGTTGTAAGAGCGTTTTTACATATATAAATTTCACGCGGAGAAACACCCAGATCTGAAACAATTATCTGTGGCTCACACAAACACTTCTCCCGTGTGGGAATCGAACCCACGAGCCCCGGCGCCGAAGCCGATACCTTGACAAATGCGCCATGGAGTCGTCTAAAGGACCGAATACCCTTCAAACCCCAGGAGCTAACAGCTCACGGGGTAACTGCTCACGAGCTAACAACTCCCGAGCTAACAACCCGCCGTTTCCAGCATCGTGCACCTGTTCCCCTGGTCGAACATCCTGGACAAGGATATGAACCTGTCCGACTCTTTCCGCGTGCCGGACCCTAAGAGCGGCCAGATGCGCCGCCTCATCTCGCAGATCTCGCCCAAGGAGGAGGAGATGTTCAGGAACATGCTGCGCCGCCTGAACCACATCATCCAGGTGGCGAACGAGGCGGACGTGCGCGTGATGATTGACGCCGAGCAGACATACTTCCAGCCGGCGATATCCAGGATCTGTCTGGAGATGATGAGGCGATACAACAAGGTACGCCCTTGCCCCGCCTTTTCGATGATAGCCCTTATGTTTTTTTTTTAAACCATTGCCTTACTGTGGGATATGATTGTCCTGTGTCGTAAGTTTACATACATAAATTTCACGTGCACGAGCAACCACATCCGGTACAACTATCTGTGGGTCACACAAATAGTTGTCCCGCGTGGGAATCGAACCCAAGACATCCGACGCCGAAGCCAATACCTTGGCAACTGCGCCACGGAGTCAACATTTATCTAAAAGTAACATGGCCTTGCCCCGTCTTTCTGATATTCCCTATCCAAAAGTAGTAGTTGAGGGACATCCTATAGGCCAACGAACTACAACAATACAGCCATAAATATTCAATCTCTCACCCTGTTCAACGGGTTAAAATAATGAATAACAATAATAATAATCTAAAAGTAACAGCATATAAGATCCAACTGCTGAACATAGGCATACCCCACAGGCTGCAATGTAACACGACCCTGAGCCACCTGCGTCCATCGACTTTCCGCACACTTGTGTGTCGTCACTCCATCTAATGGGGGTCACACTGCGATGGCCAGTTCGAGGCTGCCACTCGAGATTATGTATTCATTTATTCTTAACAATAAAAATTGTGTTGAATAATTCATGCAAAACCAAAAAATACAATTAAAATGGTTCGCAATCAAAATTACGGTTACATAAAACAACAATAGTAATTATAAGTCTCATTATAAATAAGATAAAGCGTAAAATGTCACAAAAATAATTATATTGCAAGTAATGGATTGTCAAAAAAAAAAAAAACAATAGTTCAATTTTTCAATATCATGAAAAAGTTTTAAAACATTGAAGGTGACACTATAATAACACTAGCTGCTGCCCGCGACTACGTCTGCGTAGAATAGGCTGAAGGCGTAACAATCAGACAGAAAGACAGATATTCATAAAATATGGACATAAATTATAGCCATGTCTTATTCTGTATAAGCTACGTTATTGTAAAGTTTCATTAAACTCCATTCAGTAGTATTTGCGTGAAAGAGTAACAAACATCCGTCCCTACATACAAACTTTCGCTTTTATAATATTAGTAAGGATTTTTCCAATAGCCGTTTGACCTTTGTTCCGTTGCGAGGGGGTTCCCAATTGACAATTGGTAGCGTGTCGCCCACAGGAGAAGTTCCTCGTGTTCAACACTTACCAGACGTACCTGAAGAACACCTACAACGAGATCCTCACGGACTTGGAGCAGGCGCAGCGGCAGAACTTCTACTGGGGCGCTAAGCTGGTGCGCGGCGCTTACATCGAGCAGGTCGGCCATTTTGTCGTTTTTTTTTTCTATCAAAGCAGATCACAGGCACGGCTTAGATGGGGATTCGGTTATCTGTTTAATTGTGGTAGGGGGGTGTACGCTTCACGAATGGGCAGGCCCGTCGTTTTAGTGTTTTTTTTTTTCTATCAAAGCAGGTCACAGGCACGGCTTAGATGGGGATTTGGCTATCTGTTTAACTGTGGTAGGGCCACGAGACAGCGTTCGCTGTTGCACGAATGGGCAGGCCCGTTCGGGTAAGTACCACGACGTCCCAGAAGACCGGCGTAAAGTAGACGTTGTTGCACTTCCACGTTTCGTCTGGTGAGGGAGGTTGCCGGGGCCCACATTATTAAGAGGTGGCAACGCATCTGCAACCCTACGGGTGTTGCAATAGTCCATGGGCGGTTATCACTTAAGATTAGGTGTACCGCCAGCTCTTACTAAGATTTATCTTACCAAAACGATGAGTACAGTCTGTTCTATATAGTTGACTGTGTGTATCTAATGCGATGGATGGAACTGTACTTCACCGATATTCTGTCTCGTTGACTGCGTGTATGTTAGGGATGTCGAAAGTGAATAAATATATCGGTATATCAATATCGGCTTCGATATATCGAAGAGAAAATATCGATATATCGTTATTTTCCTTTTAGGCCTCGTTGTCAAAAAAAACGTATGTCAAGCCTATTAAATTCAACAAATTCAGAATCTACTAACTTTGTGGCGGTTTCGAGTTTGAAAAAAAAAATATCGTTCGTTATTGATTATTATATTGAAGGATCGAAATAACGATTTTTTTATATAAAATACATCGATATATTTTCAACGTACCCACCTAACGGGTCGGATCGAACTGCACAACCCCAGGAGCGTGCCCGAGCCGCCGCCATGGGCTACGAGGACCCCACCTGCGAGAGCGTCGACGCCACCACCGCCTCCTTCCACCGCTGCCTCAACGAGATCCTCAGCCGCGTCAAGGTCAGCCCTTGGCAGTTGCCAGTAGCGCCGTTTACGGTTAATGTAAATAACTTTAACTCCGGCGTGATTCAATTGAAATAAATTTTAAACGATAGAGAAAAATCACTAATGAATTTATCAAAAAGCAGAATTCGGCGGTCGCTTATAGTTTTCGAGAAAAAAATATCTAAAACTTGTTTTTTGTGCTAAGAAATCCACCATTTTATTTGTTTGACTTCAAAAACTCAATACACAGTTTTGCCAACGTGATAAATATAGGAAGCGGGCGACATCATACACGTATCGATATTCCGATTTTTTTTTAATTTAATGAGTCACAGAACCGACACAGAGCGAATCCGACTCGGATAGATTAGATTAGAAGGTTCACCGTTTAACCTTCGATGTTAGGTTTTTTTTTATGACCACCAAGAAATACCAGCTGAATTGACATATTGACAACAAAAAAAATGGCGGATTTCTATAGTAAAAATCACACTATTTCATTATTTATTTTTTCGAAAACTACAAGCGACCGCCAAATTCTGCTTGTTGATAAATTCATTACTGATCCCTCTCTATCGTTTAAAATTTATTTCAATTGGATCACGCCGGAGTTAAAGTTATTTACATTTACCCCGTTTACTCCACTCGCACACTTGTCGGCTCTGTTAATCTGGAACTGCCTATCGCTTGGCATTCGCACTAAACTTTAACTGAACATTATTGATAAACACACACTATTGCTTACAATAGCTATCACTGATAGTAAAGTAACAGCCTATACATGTCCCACTGCTGGGCAAAGGCCTCCTCTATACAGAGGGTATCAGGGCATAGTCCACCACACGGCCCCACTGCGGATTGGCGGACTTCACATATTTTCGAAATACATTTTTTTTTGTTATTATTCCGAAAATATACAGTTTTCCTCACGATGTTTTCCTTCACCGCGGAGCACGTGATAATTCAGCACTTAAAGTTAAAACCTTCATTGGTGCCGGCACCGGGGATCGAACTCAGGTTGCTCGAGTATATTGAATTAAGGCGAGCGCCCGGACACTGAGCTATCACTGATAGCTGCACCATTAATTCAGTCACACGCTTTCCAGTTCTGATAATGTAGAACTTTCTATCGCTTGGCATTCGCATTAAACTAACACTGAACTTTCGCTATTTTGATGAAAGTACACAATATACAGCTATGGCACCATTAATTAACTCAAACACTTGCCAATTCTGATTATATAGAACTGTATATCGCTTGGCATTAGTCCCAAACTAAGGCTGAACTTTCGCTATTTAATTAACACAATTGTCAGTTATATTACCATTAATTGACTTACACACTTGCTAGTTCTGATAATGTAGAGTTGTCTATCTGTTGGCATTCGCAATAAACTAAGACTGTATTTTTTATTTATGTTTGTTACCTCATAACTTTTAACGGAGTGACCGGATTTGGTGATTCTTTCCTGGTGACGCTTCCCATGTGTTCCCATATTAATTTCATCGCTATTGGATCTTGGGCTCCGGAGATACTTAGGGAAACACCTGAAGATCAATTGTAAAAATGAATACAGAGCGAGACATTGGAAGCCGGTTTGGTTTTTAGTTAAAAAAAATTGGTTATTTCGCACAAATTCAAAAGTAAAACCATCTGACGCTCCGAACTGGTTGGTATATGGCTACGGTTTCATCGGACCTTTTTTCCCCAACTGCACACACATCAGAGGCTTTAAAATTCTTCATGTATGAGTTTTCTCCTGACCGTACCGTTCCGCAGGAGAGCCAGTACCGGCTGGGCATAATGGTGGCGTCCCACAACGAGGACACGGTGCGCTACGCCATCCAGCTGATGAAGGAGCGCGGCATCCGACCTGAAGACAAGGTGGTCTGCTTCGGCCAGCTGCTCGGCATGTGCGACCACATCACCTTCCCCCTAGGTGAGGAGCTGTGGTATGGTGGTCGAGTGCTGGCCAGTTTTTGGGGTCAAATACCTAAAGACGTCCTGGATCTGGCTGGCGTGCTAAAAAAAATTCTTGATGGTTAGAATCAGACTGCAAATACAATACACATATACATAATCTACACTGTCTATGTTGTTTATATGTCATACATCGAAAGGATTTTTTTACCACTTCGGGAATCGAAACCACTTGTTCCGGATTTGCGCCCAGACGTTTTGTAACCATTACGCTAAACGGCCGAATACCATTCCAACGAAAATTGTAATGTCTTTTATCAATGGATCCGACAACTGTGGCTCTTTTGTTTACGAGCAATAGTTGTCGGATCTATTTTGATATCCTTTACAGCATACAAACAATTTTGCCATTGCTATATGAAATTTAAATATAGTGCTAATCTCTGAATTTAGGATGAAAAATTAAAATGCGTAGAAAATAATTTGATATACATCGTGGTGGTGCTACTACAGGGCAATCGGGCTACTCGGAAATTAAGCAAAAACATTGTTTAATATAATATTTCGAACAAATTTTTACAAAACGTTGTCTAGTCCCAAACTAAGCAACGCTTGTACTACGGGTATTAGAAAACGGATAGACATACTTTTCTTTTTGTAAATAAATACATATTATACATATATAAACACGTAGACACCGGAAAACACTGTTCGTCACAAAATATTTTACCATTAATGGGGGATCGAACGCAGACCCTCTGGCCGAGGGGCAGGTTCACTGCTCCCCACGCCCATCGGGTCGTCGTGTTCGTCTTGATGGTTTCACTGAAACACTATATATGAGACACAAGTGGTGCGACAAGTGGTGATCGATGTAATGCGCAGGGCAAGCGGGCTACTCGGCGTACAAGTACGTGCCGTACGGGCCGGTGGCGGAGGTGTTGCCGTACCTGTCGCGGCGCGCCAACGAGAACCGCGGCTTCCTCGCCAAGATCAAGAAGGAGAAGGGGCTGCTGCTCAAGGAGATCGGCCGCCGGCTGCTCACCGGCCAGCTCTTCTACAAGCCGGTCGGCAACTACACGCCCGTCTAGATCCGGCCTCGTTTGGTGCGCCCCGCCGCGGTTCCCGATTCCCGATTCGGCCGATCACCGGTTGCCGTCTCGTCAACTCCCCGCCGAAAGTGGCCGCCATCTTGTCACGCGAACCAACCCATCAAAAGTGCCCGCCATCTTATCACGCAGACCACCACATCAAAAGTGGCCGCCATCTTGACGCGCAAGCAGAGTCTCAACAAAATGGCCACGATCGTGTCGCGTAAGTCAAAACCCGCTAAAGGTGGCCGCCATTTTGCCTTGAGGGCCAATTCCCGTCGAGAAGGCCGCTATCTTGTCACATAAGCCCTCTCCCGCCAAAAGTAGCCCCCATTTTGACATGCAAGCCGACTCTCACCAAAAGGGCGCCATCTTGTCACATAAGCCAATTTTAACCAAAATATGGCACCATTTGTCTCGTCACGTAAATCAACTCCCGCCAAAATTGGCCGCCATGCTGTCATAAAAGAAACTCGCGCCGAAATGGCCGCCATCTTATAAGGCAATAGACACCGGGAGTGGCGGGACGGAGTGTCAGATCCCCCGTAAAAATGCAGGTCCATTGAAACGCTTCGATTATAGAACATTGAGAATAGTTTAGTGTACTGTATAACGGGACTAGTCGTATTTTCGTTTCGATCACAGCAGTTGCGAATTGAATGATTCAGGAATAGTATTTCTCTTGTCTAGTTATAAAACGGTTCTTAACGGATTTTGACTTAACACAAAGCACGAATAGGCGTTTGCCGAATTATATACTGATATTTTGTCTTAATCCTAAGGAGGAAACGAGATTCTATGGCAATGTTTAAGTTGTTTAAACCCAACTAAATATTAACTAGTGCATTGATTATTTGGCATTATTATTCTATTGAGTGCAATCGTCTCATTTCATCAGTATTAAAATGTGCGCGAAGCGTTTAATTTAATTGCTCGATATATTATAATATTCGGCATAACCGCATTAAATATGCTGCTGCGTCAAAGAAATTATTAAGCATTCGAAATGAAATTGTTTATTTCTGCGTCTGTTGTTTAAATTTGTTTTAAGGATTGTTTTTTTTTTAATCGGTGTATATCTGTGAATATAAATATATTTATTTTGAACTATTTACTTAGGCGAGCTCATTTAATGAAATCAGACATTAAAACAACGCAATTAAGGACTGCGTGGAAATCTTTACATATAATCATGAGATTTAATGGTCGACGCGTTTTTACTTGTTAAGCCAAGCGACTTAATATGTTAATACACCCTGCCTTAGATTCGAAATCGCTCTGCAAATGCGTCGACTATTACACCCATGGTATATGACGGTTGAGTATTGATTGCATTTCTTTGTGTTCCAGATCTTTTAATGTTAATCTCGATAAGTGTATTATGTTCTATTTATTGTGAGTTACGTCCTTATTACGATGTATATACCTAAGGCTTAAGTTACTATTTATCTAGCGCCCAGTATTTTTTATTGTTTACCTCTTCTACATCAATTTGCATTTTTGTCGCTTCTTCTTGACGTGTACAAATATAAAGCTCTGAGCATTAGGACGAGAGAGTAATCTTATTTACAGCCCAATACGCTTTCCATTTTTGTAGTCTCCGTTGTGAAATATATTATCTGTAACGCTTACCAACAGATAACCAACAGACAGTATGAAATCTACAATGACAATTAAATTTCTCAAAAATATTACATCTTCATTCTGACATTAAAAATGTTCATTTACCGTTTGTAAAATGTGTATCGCCCATTGATTACATTTAACAATTTATTATTATTAAATTAATTCAATTGGTTATGTTATTATTAATAAATAATGGCATATTTCTTATCTAAAGAATCTGAATGAATTTTATAATTTATCTGTGAAAAATTGAGGTCTGTTTTTGACGTAATTTATGCTCTGTCCTCCATATGGAGTAAGAGATCCGAGATCGCTAGGAGTAAGCTTCTTCGAATTAATTAAGTTCCTACCGTATAAATAGGCGGCGCCAAAATAAATGCAATTTGGCGCCTATATATTTATAAATGGAATCAATATTTACCTCTCGAAATCATGATTAAGCAGGAAGCCATAGTCTTAGTTCTGATTGTTTTCTAAGTTGTTTTATATTGTTTTTAATTTATTTTTTAAGTGTACGAAACCGATTTGATTTATCTTCGCTAATTATTGTGATGCTAATTTTAGATTATTTTACGTATAGACATTGAAATAAAGACAAGATTTTGTTTTGATTTTTATTTCTTTTATTTTCCTCGTTCTTTGGTTTCCTTTTATCTTTTTATTTTACGTTTGGGTTTATCTGTTGTTTTTGCATAAATTACACAACACTTGCAAAGTGGTTACACTGCTAAAATTCCTTTTAAGAAATTTGGTGTTAATAATTTTTGAATTTTTGAAGTAATTACATGAATGAGATGACTTTTTGCAACGTCGATGTAATTTGGATAATCAAGAACGGACTTCATAATTTCATAAACCATTTTTAAAACCTTGATCGTTCTAGGATCCGAAGTGGGCCTATTAAATTCGGTAAATGTATAAAGAATGTAGTATATAGTAGAAAACGATACAAAAACTGTTTTAACTGACTGTTAAAACGGTACAAAACAACTCCTGCTAAACATTTATTGAAATTAATGTGTGCAAGATAAATAATTTATAAGTTCCGATTTACGATTATTGTTTACATAAAAATACCATGAATCGTACAAATTAAAGAAAAATCGGGAATAAATACTGGGGTATGAATAAATCGCATCGAATTGGGAATCGCTTGCAAATGTAGCATAATCAAGTTACTTTAAAATTAGAGGTAGATAGTTTCGACGGCAAGTCGTCAAATTGATGTTAACTAATACTTACATGTTTATGAATGAATCAAATTTCATGGTTTTAGTATTATTTCGCTGGCAATCTGCGTGGGATATTTTTATTTCGGAATAATTAGTGAGAACTTAATACGTTCAGAGATTAAATTACAACTTTGAGATAGATAATTCAATGTCTTTATACTGCTACTCCATTAGTTGGCGTAGCAATATAGTCTGTAGCAGGATTAGTTGATGTTATAACAGTTAATGAAGCGGGAAGATTGTCTACGATTAATTAGTTTATGAAGGCTTAAAGCTTGATTAAAATTGTGAACTAAAATTGTATGTTAACAGTCTCGCTGAGATAAACGCATGTTGACCAACAAAATACGTTTGAAATTACAAAAAAATTCAGATATGATTTTTCTATGTTTCTTTATTTTTTTTCTAAGTTTAATTATCGATAAAACAAACCATTCTAATAGTCGTCATGTCTATGCGAACAATGTGTATTAAAAACTTTAGATTATCTGTAGACGTTAGACGGGTGTAATTCTTTACGTAAAAATATTTAAGCTTATGACAACTGTTCATTCGTTCAACGACCCCTAATATAGGCGACATTGCTACGCAATAGTATGAAATTTATAACCATGCTAATTTTTTTTTGCATTTGTATTTATGTTAAAGAGATGTTAACGAGGCTCTTAATGTTATTGACAAGATAATATTGAAAGATAATGTAGGCAGACAATAATGTAGTAACGTTTGTATGTATCAGTCCATATTACTTAGTCACAGGTGGCGAACTGTACAGACGTTCTGACGAAATTCCAATAGGCATAATTTTTATAAAAATAATTAATCTTTTATATCAGTATTTAACGAAAGTAGTGTTTGCTATAAATGTTATATCAGTAGATGAATAGATCACATGTTTATTGTTTTTACGGTTTACTCTGCAAGAGTAACTCAAATCAGATACGAGACTAAATAAATATTGAATTCAATAACACATGCTAATTCAGTTTTTACTCCTTCTATCTATTTTTCAAAGACGATTATGTTAGAATTTAACGCTATTTTTGTTCCATATCTTGCATGTAATAGATTGATATTGATCTGAGAATGCTTTGGGGTAAGATTTGTTTATAGGTTTACATCAAGTCGATATAGAAACTGGCTCTAAAGACTGCTATTATAATAGTTTCTCGCAAATGTCTGTACAGTATGGCGCATATCTGTTATGAATAAAGCCGTTGTCAAATTACTTAATGCCATTGAGATTAAGACTTGGATGTCTTAATGTATGCTTGGCCATCCCGTGTACTTTTTAACATCCACCGTTTCGGGCAGAGGAAATGGCATGCCATGAAGTAATGAAGGCAATATATGTATTTATATACGTACGAGAGCGTTTTTATTGCAACTAATCTTTTTTTAGCATTATAATTATATATATCGATATTTCATTTCGACAATGTTCTATTGATATTTTTATTCCTCCCTCCATAAAAAAGTAACTATTAGATGCAATTTGCTATGGACACGGTCGTTCATACAGGCCACCATTAAACGCATATTAATAATTTGCAACTCACAAATGACATAACTCACAAATATACTCCAAAAATGTGAACGAACCCAACATATTGCATTAAACTTTACAGGAATTAAAAAAAAATAGGTTATGTTGATGCGTCCCTTGATTGTAGCGCCATCTGGATTTACCTTCCCTGAGAGTCACTCTCTACTTTTAGAATTTTGCTGCGTTGCAAGGCCTGTGTTTAAGACCGATTCTTTTTTTTAATATGGAAATACGAAAAAAAATCTATTTTCCTTTTTCTAGATATCGAACTCTTAGATAATTGTCTAACTAAACTTAGAGTGGTTAGTACTGTACTTTTTTTATTATAATTTGTTTAATTTTATATTCCAAAATTGCCTCATGTATTTATACGATAAAATATGTTTTTTTTTTTAATTCAACGTTGTCTTGATTCAATATTAAATTGATTATACATAAGCAATTACAAATATTTCTGTCGCTCTCGTATCGTATATATTATATTATATATGTTATATATTTAACAACGTATCACATCAATGTATCAATGAAGTAGTTATATATACGGTTTCTGAGCTCTATCTACACTATTTGTACGATTACAGAGCCCTCTCTTATTATCATCGCATACGGTTGTTTTAACATTAAATGTTAGAAGAAATTAGCTTAATTTAAGCAAATAAAATTAAAATCATCTTATTTAATTACAGTAGTTGATCTAGAGAGCCAAATTTGTTTCATGTCCTATGACAGCTCAATATATTACACTTAAATATATCATAATTTGACTCAAAGGTACATTTTTCGTTTCTTGTTTGTTCCTTGAAGGTAAATTTGAAGACTCCGACCGATGTTAATAATTCAGGGCCTTTATCTACCAGAATAAAATAAATGTTAATGTTGTAACACTGGCTTTTATTTTGCACACTTCACGACCATACCTCTCATCCCCATTATCTTTAAAAAAAAGGAAAAGAAAATGTGACAGAAAGAACAACTCGACAGGGGAAGTCCACGGCAAGACCGCTACACTGAAGACCGATCTGAAAATTCGTAACTATTTATAATACTGCGCTTTGCCTGGAGAGTGAGATAAGCAGAAATGCACACCTCCTGTGGTTGGCCTCTGGTAGTACGAGTGGCCATGGGTTACTCGCTTATTTGAAATCTCTTTAAAACAAGAAAATGACATGGCTCCTAAATTGGATAACAGCCTGTATGTGTCCCACCTCTTTACAGAGGGTATTATGGCATAGTCTATCACGTGACCCCGTGCCATGATAGCTCATGTTCCGGGCGCTCGCTTTCAGTATAATGGAGCAACCCGAGTTCCATCCCCGGTGCCGGCACTAATGAAATAGTTAATTTTAAGTGCTGACTTATCTTGTGCTTAGCGGTGAACAAAACATGGGACATTTATAGGCTGTTACTAGGCTAGTCCGACGATCCAATCACCAAGGCGAGCGTCGAAGTAATTTTCATTTTCTTTATTTTGCGTTTGTTTTCTGTGTAGGGCGATAGATTCATGAACCTGTCAGATTTTAATTAGAAAAAAGATGGTGAAAAGGAAATTTAATACACAGGTTGTACTTATCATAAATGATAAATAATTTGTAATAGACAAATAAAAAGTTACTTCATAATTCGCCCATGTAAGGTTAACATAAATAGCCTTAATTATTAGCATTAATTTTGAAACGTGTTGTTTTTCCATTGATGTTGTACAATTTTGTGTTTACGCTGTTGTAATGTAACAAGTATTTTTATTGAATCATAATTCTACGTAAGTGTCTTTACCATACTTTCTTATTATATAGCCACCTAATAATACAAAAATGAATACAGTCCCAAAGACACACCGCAGCTCTGATACCTGATCCCTTTCTTGTTTCCTCACGGAACATTCTTCAGTCCAATCCCTAGGGATTAAGGGCTGCACCACTCTTCTTAGCTCGTTCAAAGGGCAGCGAACATCACAGCCAGGTAGTTGTAATCGACTCAATTCACTTTCAGCACCTTGTCTGTACCAGATCTGAGTAAAGACCTCTCCAGCCAACTCTCGATACTCGACTATGAACGCAGAGGTGAAACCGGGCGGAGCGGATAGCTCGAAGCCGAGGGAGTCCATCAAAGCACTCACAACCGTATCGTGTGTGCAATAAAGGTGAATGTTATACGAATCGTTCTTATAGCCAGTGAGAACGCTTATCAACGGTCCCGACCGTAGCCTTTTCAGCTCGAGGCTTTCCGTGGAATGCCGCAAGGAGCTTACCACGTGCCGTTTCATTGTTCCATAAATCCTCCTCGTCCATTTTGGAATTCTGAGACCGGCTTGCTTTTCGATTTCCAAACACGTGTATAGGTACAGCAGATCCATCGGCGACGCAATCAGCTCCCCGGTATACTTCGTCAGTAGGCGGTAGAGCATTCGCGTTTCATCGTCGTCTCTGCTCGGCGTTCGTTTTAGAACATGCTCGTATAGCGAGCATTGGATGCGCGGCGCCAGAATTCTGTCGTACTCAGCCGGCGACGAATGCACCGCGGATGGCGGCCAAGCGATATTGGACCATATGTCGTCCGCGGAGGGTGGTATCAGCCCAGCCAGTAGCGCCGCGCTGGTCATCAAAGTCCTAGTGGTGTCGGAAGATATCGCTTTGACAGCTTTCCAGGCGCGCGCTTTCGGCAGGAGAGTCCCGTATCTGGATCGCAGCGCTTGTCCCAGACGAAACCCCTGTTTCTTACCGAGTACAGTCAGCTCCAGCGGGCCGTTGCTCCAAATGGCCGAAGACGCGTGCGGATCTTCAGGGTAGAACGCTTGTGGCGCCATGTGACCGTGACTGTACACGACGTGGATTTGAAGCAGCCTCCCGTCCAAGCCCTCCTCAGAGGCTGGAGACCAGTAACCCTCACACCAGACAGACGGAAACAGTAACAATATCGTCAGCATTTTGAATGAGACGACATCAAACGCAGTCTATTTATTCACCGTAGTATCATCTTAAACGATTGTTAAGGACTGTTAGAAATAATTAGTTAATGGCAAGAATATGTTTTTAACGCGAGCTTAAGTGGTAATAAAATATATGCACAGGGGAATAATGGCTGTTTTGATCATTAGCGAATATATCATCAGCAAACAAGAAAAGCAAAGCAAACAAAAAATGTACCTAATTATATTTAAATAATAGTTTTAAAGCTAACTTACTTTGTTTTTAATTATATTATTAAAATTTTAGTAGGTTCAGTGAGTTTTATTTGTTGATTAATCATTGTAACATTTGATTTATGAGTTTACTTTTTATTTATATTATTTGTAATAAACGTTCAAATATTACATTTATAAGTATATATATATACCACATATATATTCTCTAATTCTTGATCCAAAAGTCGTTTTTTAGCAACGAAAAACAAAACCGACTTCAAATATGTCGCTCTGGATTCATTTTATAATTGATTTTCAGGAGTTCCCTAAGCATCTCCTCAAGATCCAATACCAATGGTTCAGTCACTCGAAAGTTCTGAGGCAACAAACATAAAAAAAATACAGTCAAATTGAGAACAACCTCCTTTTTTAAAGTCGGTTGAAAAAATCAAAATCGATTCAGTCACTCGAAAGTTCTGAGGTAACAAACATAAAATTTGAATTTTGAAATTGAAAACAAAATTTGTAGGGCCACGCAACAGTCTTCAATGCACGAACGGACAGGTCTGTTCGAGGAAGTACGACGACCTCACAGAAGACCGGCGTGAAGTGGAAGTGAGCTACAGGTACTTCTGCGTTTAGTCTAGTGAGTGGGGTAACCGGGGCCCACTTTATTAAAAGATGCCAACTTAGCTGCAACCCTACGGGTGTTGCAAATGTCCATGGAGGCGGTTATCACTTAAAAGCAGGTGAACCGCCGACTCGAAAAAATGGACGAAAAATTTATCATTAATATGACTTACACTGCTTCAAAATTACTAGCTTCATTGTGTAAAGGATTTTCATAGTCCGAGATGCAGCAATTTCTTCAGCTTTTTGTATTATTTATGAACTGAATTCTAATTAACGTTTAACGAACAGTAATACAATACTAAGTTGTTTATCAAGCACTGGCCGAATTTTATATATATTGCCATAATATTCTCTATCAAGCCAACTGCTTGATGCGTTGGGCTCTTATACAATAGGGTTAAATAGTTAAGATATTATCGGCCGGTTTCTGAAACAATGATCATCGTAGATGTCAACTAATCAGCTGTCAAATGGCTTTTCAAATGTTATTTGGGTTGCCAAAAGTATTGTAAAATTCTTGAATTGATCATTCTGATTATTAAGATCATTCTGATCAATTCAATCAACAAAATTTGAAAAGCCATTTGACAGCCGATTAGTTGACAACTACGATGATCATTGTTTCAGAAACCGGGCGTCAATGTGTGAAAGAAAAAAAAATGTCAATGAACAGTCAAGTATTTTATTTTTATATCAACATTTGACACAGATCAGTTAATTATTACAGCGCACACGATATTATGATTGCCGCGCAAAATTGTATTGAAACGTAGGCATTTATACAGACTGCAAGTGGTATTGAAATTTACAAAAACACACTCAGTTTGAAGGCCATTACTAAAAGGATATTATACCTATAGTAGTAATAATGTTGGCTTCATCGTAATAAAAATATGAAGCTGTGAAAGCGTATTGTAAAATTTCTATATTCGATATGTCTCACAAAACGACTGTTTTCATATGATATGCTCGTAATACAATTAAGGATCTTTATGTTACGTTTGGATACTGAATAGGTAATAAAAAGTAATAATGCAGGACTAATTTATGAGCTATCATAATAAAAATTGTATGACAGACAGTGTTCATCACAATTTTCAGCTTCATAAGCTCTGTATTTTGTACATTCACTTAATCTCAGTTTCCGTCCATTTGTTATATCAAAGAATGAAGGAATGTTTTTTCGTCGAGAGAACTAGAATGGAAAGTACTGCTCTAGATTTTGAGACACAATATCTCTGTCAATTTTTTTAACCATTTAAATGTGCATTCATCGTGTGCGCTATAAATAATCTCTTAATTTTTTTAAATTACAACAAACAGTTTAGTATCCATTTAATTTCACATTTAGTTCAGTGTTCGACCGACATACCTACGTATATATTATTAAAACCCATTGACGGGAAAGTCTATGATAATTGTTATTTCTTTAATTCAGTATGTTTTAATATAATATGTATTAAAATCTACGCAATACGTAATAAAACGTGTATTTATTTCTTGCCTTTATTTGGAAATCCTTAGTTTTCCGGTTGTAAATTCTTAAAATTTGTTATGCATGCCGATCGAACAATAGAAGAAAGGGTTTTTATATTTTAAACATAATATTTATAGTGCTAGTGTTTAGGCTAAAGTTAGGCGGTGGAAAAATAGTGTGGGTTCTACGTACATACATTTCTAAACATTCACCTTCTCTCTCCACCCTTATTGATCAAGCTCTCGGAATGACGTCAATATATCGTGTCCCTCGCTCGGTCTCAAGTAGTAATGTAACTACAAACACATTTTTTAACTATAAACAAAGCATTTAGCTAATATGAAATTGGTGTTTTTCATAAGTTGATGTGCTAATAAATTCATTTTGGTATGCGTGGGGATCTAGCTACCACCTAAGCCAATAGGCGTTAGTATCCATGTTGTGTTCTAGTGTGTGACTTTTTGATTCTTTTAATTTCATGTGAGTGACATGTTTTTCGATTGTTGTTTTTTGATATGTTGTTTGTTGAGTATTTCAATATAAAAATTATTTTGAACAACAAAAACCCGACATCAACAAGGCGGAAAGTAAAACAACATTGCCAACTCCTATAAAATTTGAGGATTGCCCTCGATTTCTCTGGGATGCCATCATCAGATCTGGGTTTCCTTATCACGGTACCACCCTTGGGATATCTCCTTTCCAACAAAAAAAAAAGAATCATCAAAATCGGTTCATAAATAACGAAGTTATCCCCGAACACACATAAAGAAAATATACGGTCGAATTGAGAAACCTCCTTTTTGAAGTCGGTTAAAAAGTATTTGTGTACTTATGTTCGCACTTAAGAAGTTATACCTACTTCCTTAGCTTGCATTAAATGCAATTGATAAAGGTTTATTTAAATACCTAAAGCTCAATTAAATAACTTAAATTTCAAATAGTTGTTATTGTTTGCCATGGTGTTAAGCATGATGAAGTTGGTTGATTCGCCCAAACAAATGTCGCCTTTTGAGGGTCGGTGTGCGCGCGAACCGAAAAAATTTAATCTCATAATTTTTTCCAAACCCAGCAAAGCTTCCGCCACTAATCCGAGAACTTGACCTATAACGACAAAAATACTCCCACAAGTTGTTTGAGCATTTTTTCAATTAACATACCACATCTATCCTTTGTTAAGTACCTACTATAAAGTGTAAAAGGTATTCTGATAAATGTACATACAAAAATGTATATAGAAGAGACTGAGGAAAGAAGTTGAAAGCTCTCAAGAACATCGTGAGTCTTCGTGAGGTATGATATTTGTTGGAAATTAATGTTTTTGTGAAAAGGAACTAAACGAAGACTGCCGAGTGTTTTTAGATACAGATTAGAAATACAAAGGTAAAGAAGACGCTTCAAAATCCGAAACGTTACTTTGAAATGTACAAATACGACATTAAAAAACCCGAGTACAAACTTAACGGGGGGCGCTATTCACATTTACACTAAATAACACACAAACGGGTCAGTCGGCGAGTGTCTCGCGTTCGCACGCGGAGTCGCCAGCCGCAGCCGGCTTGCCCTCGTTCCGGAGCGCGCGTCCAGGAGCTTCAGCGCCCTCGGCACGAGCGCACACGAGCGCCTCCGCGCCGTTCCGGAGCGTGCGTCCAGGAGCTTCAGCGCCCTCGGCACGAGCGCACACGAGCGCCTCCGCGCCGTTCCGGAGCGTGCGTCCAGGAGCTTCAGCGCCCTCGGCACGAGCGCACACGAGCGCTTCCGCGCCGCGGGCCACCGCGGGCGAGGCGGGCGGGCACTTGCGGCGCTCGCGCTGCCGCTAGGAGCGCCGCTGCCTCAGCTCGAGCGCCGCGTGCGACGCGAGCGCCGCGGCGAGCGAGAGCGCGAGCGCTCCGAGCTGCGCGCGCACGCAGAGCACGCGCCGCGCCGCGCACGCCAGCGCCAGGCCGGCGTGACGCGACGCCAGCGTCAGCGACCACGGTCCGCGCCAGCCCGGGCCGCCGACGCACACGCCCGCCTGCCACCGATAACGTGTTTAGATTTTTCGTGATTTTGAAAATATCCAGGTTTCTTCGCGGTGTTTTCTTCTTTCACCGCAGAGCACGTGATAGAACCAACACTTAAAATTGCTATTAACAATCTCTTTTGGTGTGGGCATCAAGATTTGACTACAAAATTAAATACGAACATGCGTTAAATGCGTACTAAATTAAAAGCGAACACCCGGTCACTTAGCTATTCCGGTTAGCATGTACTGTTACAATCAGATAACTTGATGTCCGCGCCAAGAAGACATCCAGTCACAGGCTCTTCTGCAGTGCCCTTTTTGAGTAGCAAGCTTATTTTTACATCGAAACGCCTTTACACACAACCTCTGCTACTGTTCCATCTGCTTCACGCAGCACTTAAAAGCCTATTGATAAGCGTTGGTTTAGCTAGTATTGATGTCGTCTTGAAGGTAAACGTTATATTGCTCTCTGATACTCGACCAACTATCCGGATAACCACTCCAGTAGTCACCTGCAGGACGTCCCACAGCGCAGCGCAGGCGCCCCACGCTGCGGCGGCCACTGCGGGCAGCGCGAGGTCTGAGCGCGCAGCACGCCAGCGCAGCAACGCCAGCAGCAGGGAGCCGTGAGCGGCGCCCCCTCCAGCGGCTAGAGCGCGCCACGCGCCGCCAGCGCGCGCGGCCGCCATGCTGAGCGTCGCCGCGGCTAGCGCTTGAAGCGCCCCGGCGCCGCACAGCGCGCGCCACGCCCCGCCCCAACCGCCCACGCACACGCCGTACCACTTTATCATAAAGCCAAATTCAACATTTCTTCATTCAACATATACTTATTTTAAGCTCTCGTTGAACGTCAAAAAAAACTACCGCTACACTAAACTGAATTTCTTGTCCAGAGAAGAACCGACAATAAACTATGCGGTCTTTTTTTTATTATTATTATATAAGCACACAAAAGTGTTTAAGTATAAGTATAAAGTTAGCAGCAGCCACGCGACTTGCAAGTACAGAGCAAGAGTCATTTATACATATCCTTGTCCTCAATGTATTCTTCGATATTATAATAAGCCCTTTCTATCAGTGTCAAAGTCAATATTTAACACAAGGTTTTCCAGTCCCAAACTAAACAACGGTTGTACTATGGGTACTTAACATACCTTTCTTTTGTAAATATAGCATATTATTGACAACGGTATTATATAAAAATAAGATATAGATATGACACTAGCGCAAAGAAACTGAGGCACTGAAATTACACCAATTGGTGTAATTAGCATGCAGTTCGTGATCTTAAAAATTCCCATGACAGCTGATGAGATATACAATCTCCGTTGACCGAATACAAAAATTAGTATATGATAAAATTAATTCTTCAAAAACAATTAAACAGGTCGGAATAAATTACCGCATCTTCTGTAAACATCAACTTATATCTCGTATAAGTATACCTTCATGTAGGACGTGTATATGAATCCCTGTTGGAGCCCTATGAAGAGACCCATTGGAGCTGCCAGAGTCGCTCTGGGGTCTCTGGTAGATGCGCGGGAGTCCGGCGGGGCTGCGGTGGCGTTGGCGCCCGCGGCCGCCAGCGCAGCCCCGGCGAGCGCTAGGCCCGCCCACGTGGCGGCCAGGGCGCTCCGCCCCGACCCGCTTAGGCCTGCGCCCCCGGACACCATGCGGATCTGCGGACAGCCCGCCGCCCCACACGTCCGCTCCTGGAACATGTTTCTTTTTATTTTATACCACCTGAGCTTAGCGGCCGCGCTACGTTGTGGATTTTTTTTTCGTTTCCGTTGTAACTACGGAATACAAAGAATAAAGTAAAGAAAAGTAAAGTAACAGCCTAGTCCCACTGCTGGGCAAAGGCCTCCTCTATACAGAGGGTATCAGGGCATAGTCCACCACGCGGCCCCACTGCGGATTGGCGGACTTCACATATCTTCGAAATATTTTTTTGTTATTATTTCGAAAATATGCCGGTTTCCTCATGATGTTTTCCTTCACCGCGGAGCACGTGATAAGTCAGCACTTAAAGTTAAAAACTTCATTGGTGCCGGCGCCGGGGATCGAACTCAGGTTGCTCGGGTATATTAATGTAAGGCGAGCGTAAGAAGAGGAAACAATGAACAGATGATACAGGGTGATTTTTTTAGACGAAGTACATGCTTTGACATAATGTTAATTGAGCATTCCATAATTCAAAAAAATATATTTTATTTTGACAAGAAATAACCAGAAAAATATCAATTCAAACATTGTTTGTTTATCCCGTTAAGAGTGGTCACCCTATTGATAAGTTGTTTAGTAATTATGCGTTCAGCGAAAAGTTTTAGTGCTCGTGAATAGGTTATTGCATTGAGATAGTAAGGCAGGAGTTTCTTAAGGTGTGCATAATGTTTGAAAAAATTAAAAATAATCTTTGAAAAAAAAATTAAGTCACAAGTACGTACCAGATTCAGATTTAGAATCAAATTCTGCATATGCTTTGTTCATATATCCGTCGTCTATAAAATCAACCTGTTCAATAGCTATGTTGTGAACAAATAAGTCAATGCATCATCTAGTTTTTGAGTATTTGAACACAAGCATTGGGAATGTAAACTTATATGTGTAAAGATTTCTAGTACCTAACTTCAGGTCTGCGATACCACTACATTTACACGAATCTATGTCAGATTATCAATGCGTTAGTCCTGGTAATACCCATATTATTCACAATAAAAAAGTATCTTAACTTCGAGCAAATGCTAGTCAGTAATCTAGCTTAATTTTTCCTTTCCATTTATGCCCAATTATTTAATGTGCTTTATTAATTTATCAAAAGCTAAATATGTACTATAACGTTGAATAAATGAAGTACTGTACAATACTGCTGGATATTGAGTTTTTTTACATGTACTTATATACTTTTGCTAATCTATGGAATCTAACGGAGCAAGGCGTTAATCTGATGAAAATATTCAATGTCCTCAAGTATTTTAACAATGCACTTGTGGTCTTTTGGGTTCTTAGCAGATACTCGGTATTGGTGGTAATTTTTCTATTTTTTACAATTCTATGGCCAAGAAATGTCTTGCATTTTTTCAACGTCTTCATTGGGTTGAGTATTTAGTCTTTTTTTTTTCGTTAAAAAATTTATTCTTATTTCTTTCATTAAAAACATCTGCAACATCAACAGTAAAAATATAATGAAGTCGAAAAATTTGTGGAGGCGTAAATAGATAGATAGAAAGATAGATAGTCTATATTTGTAAAACATGGTGTAACATACATTGCATGCAAAATATTAAATATAAGTTAATATCGCATTTATGATTTAAACCATTAAATTCTGAACTATGTTTGACGTCAAAAGCTTAAATCATTATAATATATTCTGTATTAAACGACAGAGTGGGTGGCTAGACTGACTGTCTTTGCGAAACTCGACCTGATTTCTGATGAGGTCTGCGCGTATCAATTAACTTTACTAATTACTTGAAAAGTTAAGATTTTCTTTTCTTGGCTTAAAAGTCTCTCTATAATAAATTTTTTTACGCAGATGAGAGAGAAATTATTTATTACACAATGTTACCCAACTAAAGCCGAGATCGTGTAAACGGTTTAAACAAAATACACACTTCGTGAAACAAACACTTGTGTTATGAAACTTAAAATGTATATAATTACTTTAAAAAACTTTTAAGTTAAACGGTTTTATTTTATGTTTCTTTTTTTGTTAAATTTTTTTTTGTTAATATTGTATTGTCATCTAAATTAAATGTGTGTAGCAAATTTCAGATCAATCTGACAACGGCAAGGTGCTTAAATTTCAATTTCTAATTTTGACCCAAATAAATAAACAAACAAATTCCGTACGGGTCGAGCTAAATAAAACCGTTTAAAAATGTCTTAAATATGTAATTGGTCGAAATAAAAATTATTTATTTGTCGTCAAGATTCAAACCTGCAGTACCTCCCGGTAAATATAGAAAGCGGATGGTGGTAAAAAAACTGTCCCTATAAAGATTTCATATATTGTAATGTACTCATTATGAGTTTCATTTTATAATATCTAATTATATTTTTTTTAACAATAAATTTTCGACTATTTTAAATGCGTCCAACATTCTTCAAAAGAGATCCATAGTTTTCACTTCACGTGTATATATATATATGGTGTTTTTTTTTAAACATTGCCCTTAAGGACGTTTTTACAAACATAAATTTCACGCGGACAAACACCCAGATGCGGAACACCTATCTGTGAGTCACACAACTAGTTGTCCCATGTGGAAATCAAACCCACGACCCCAGACGCCAAAGCCAAAGTCAATCTTCAAAAATAGTGTTGATATATATTTCAATATCGTTCGCTATAGTTTAGATGTAAAACGAGCCGTGTTGTCCCAACTTTGTCCTTTCATCATCATCATTGTCATTTCAAACTGTTCGAGTCTACTGAACATAGGCCTTCCCTAGGCTGCCACGAAGCACGATCCTGAGCCGGCTGCATCATCACTTCCCGCACATATGCACAGTTCGCCTCTCGTCTTTGCAAACGTTATAACAGTTACACTGACCTCGTAGTCATCCTCAGCATAGTACTCCTCAGGCGGGGGCCACCTAGGCGCCGTCACGTTGGAGGCGACGGCCGTGACCTGCGGTGCCAACTCCTCCGGCCACAGCATCAAAGCGCCGCCCAGCAGGAGCGAGCCGAGCACTAAGCCTAGGTCCTGCGAGGCCCTAAGGCCCCTGAGCGCGCGTCGCAACGCCACCTTCCGCCTGCACTCATCGCCGGCCGCTTGGGCGAGCGAGGTCGCTGACACGGTCAGCGCGAGCGACATCGGAGACAGGGTCGCGCCGCAGACGCCGTACAGCATCAGCAGCAGCGGCAGCGGCGTGGCAATGGTGTGCGCGCTCAGCAGCAGGCAGACCATCGCGTGGGAGACGGTCACTATCAGCCGCGGCCCGGTCCTTTGAAGTATGAGGGGCGACAGGGGGGCAACTAGGGCTGCGGCGGTGTGCATGACCGCCAGGGGCACCGCGCCCGCCTCCGCGCCGGCGAACGCCGTGAACGGCAGCAGGGCCGTCGAGCAGAGGCCGCTCGCCACGCACAGCATCGCGAAACGCCTCACCGCCGCCTCCGGCACCTTGGGTGGCTGCCTCGCTATCAGCCGGCGAACGGACGCGGCGCCCACGGACGACGCGACGGAGTCCCGCCGGCGGTTGGCGAACGCCGGCCTGCCCTTCTGCCTCCACGGCCATTCCTTCTTGTATATCGTGCTGACGGGCAACTGTTGGTACAGATCAAATCAAATCAAACATGTCACACATGACAAACATTCAAATAAAAACGCTTTTCAAAAAAAGACGCTTGCGCGTTCTTATGAATCGTCAGATTTTACATAAAGAGTTATATATAGGTTCGTAAGGTACAAAGGTGCCAAGCATTGAGAGATATAGAACGGAGGAAAAGGTGACGTTATACTTTGAGCTCCTGCTGAATGAACGAGTAGGCTCGGGGAAGCACCTCGAACTAACGGAAGACCGTAAAGTTGAAGTTATGCTTTCGCGTTTCATGCAGTGAGATGATAGGGGCGCAAGGTCCTCAACGCATATGGAACCTCACAGTTGTATCTATTAGATGGCGGCGGTAATCACTTAACATCAGGTGAACCTCCTGGTCGCTTGTCAATTTTGCCACATAAAAAATACAGTTATGATATGTTCCTGTGAGTTAGTTTTTTTGTGATTTTGTGTTTTTTTGTGATTTTTTATGATGTCAGAGCGGTCTTTGGAACGGTGGATTAAAGGATATAAATCTAACTAATACAAGATCATTTAGGGTGACCCTTAGATAATTGTTGCGGCTCTGTGTGTTTTTTTCCCATTTAGGTTTGACGTCAAGCAGGCGGGCGTTGGTAAAAATCCATCCCCGAACCCCGTTGCCGGCACCAGTGAAATTGTTAATTTTAAGTGCTCACGTGTTCAGCGGTGAACTTATCACGGTTCTTATCACGTGTTCCGCGGTGAAGGAAAACATCGTGAGGAAACCTGCATAATTTTGAAATAATAACAAAAAAAGGTTAGGAAGAAATGAACTCGTCGACCTCTTTTTCCGTGCATCTGTTATTATCATCTGTTATTACTATCATTGAGGACCCAGTGGCGCAGTTGTTAAGGTATTGGCTTCGGCGTCGGGGGTCGTGGGTTCGATTCCCACACGGGACAACTATTTGTGTGACCCACAGATAGTTGTTTCGCATCTGGGTGTTTGGCCACGTCAAATTTATGTTTGTAAAACGTTCTTACAACATAGTATAGTGTTATCCTAAAGTAAGGGCAATGTTTTTTTTTATAAAATGAAAATTAATGAAATGACATGTTATGACACAGAGCCGAGGGAGCTTGCTGTTGTTGTTGACGACTAGATAAATAATTGAATTTAAAATGAGGGGCGACAGCTACCTTCTCTTTATTAAAGAGATAAATAAATTTGAGTAATTTACAGCGGAGAGAACTCGCTAGAGTTGCAATATGCGTCATTTCTCGTTTATTATTTTGATAATCTATCGGGTTTCATCAGCAGTTATTTACGGTGACGTGTTAATACAAACATACAAACACTATAGCGTGCAATAACAATAACTTAAAGTCCACGTGCAGTCATATAATAAAAGCATCAAGAACAGATTGATATATGATAGTTTGGCTCCACACATGGTGCAATAATTTTATCGGTCACCTTGCCGAGTTATTGCTCACGGTGGTATGGATTCTATGTACACGTGGAGTAAAAATTATGTTTGTGTAAGAATACACGAAACACGCAAATATCATCTATCTATATATCTTTTGCAAGATACAAACGTACGTGGCTTATAGTACAATTATGTTATTTCTATCATCGTATCTGGCGTGCCTATAATGGTAGCTGTTTAACGAATAGTTATTTAAGACTATAAGCGGGTTTTTGATGACTACGTGTCGCGGTTGCCAAGGTATTGGGTTCGGCGCCGAGTGTCAAGAGTTCGATTCCTACACTGTTCAACTATTTGTATGAACCATAATTGTAACGGATCTGTGTGTTTGTCCGCGTGAAATGTATGTATGTAAAATGTCGTTACAACACGGGCTAATGCTACCCTACAATAGGGGTGATGTTTTTTTTATTGTGAGAAGGTGGCAAACGAGCTGGCTGTTCACCTGATGTTAAGTGATAATCACAGCCAATGGAGATTTGCAGAGTCGCAGATGCGTTGCTACCTTTTAATAAAGTCTGCTATCAGCAGACGTAACGCTGAAGTGTAACACTCACTTCACGCCGGTCTTCTGTGAGCGTGTAATAAAGTCGACCAATTCAATCATCAGGCGAAACTCGGAAGTGGAACTCACTTCACGGTCTTCTGAGGTCGTGGTACTTACCTCACCTGCCCATTGCAACAGCTAACTGTTGCGCGGCCCTACCACAGCTGTGTTGCGAAATACAGACCTGGGCAACGACTGCTTGGTGGCGGTGAGGGTCGGATATGGTGCGCGTCGCCTGCCGCGGGTCGTGTGGCCGCGGCCGCTCGGTTAGCTCGGGTAGGCTGCCCATGAGCAGCCACGGGACTCCAGCGCCGTCCACGCCGGCTACCACCTCATTCCTGTCGGAACAAGCAGTAAAGTAAAGTAACAGCCTGTACATGTCCCACTGCTCGGCAAAGGCCTCCTCTGTACAGAGGCTATCAGGGCGTAGGCCACCACGCGGCCCCACTGCGGATTGGCGCACTTCGCATGTGTTCGAAATATTTTTTTTTATTATTATTTCGAAAATATGCAGGTTTCCTCACGATGTTTTCCTTCGCCATACACATATGACATATATAATTATGTGAATGTGATAGATGATACATGAAGAGATGGAAGTGTATGGAATTGCAATCTAATTACACCAATTGGCGTAATTTGAGTGCCTCAGTTTCGGTGCGCTACTGACGATAGTTATGAATCTACTGCGTATTTGTATATAATATCATTGACTTAATTTTTTAAATAGATAAAATAAATATTTCGGAAACCCTTTTACACAACAATTTTTCATTTTGCAAAAAAAGGCCATAAGAGCTATTTAAATGCATCTTTGAGATAGAAGTTTGAAGAAATAAATGTTTTTAACCTTAGCCTCTCAATATATATATGATCATGTTATGTATATACGTAGAAATATTAATAATTTTAATGAGAATACTGATGTACATAATGTAATCACTAGGAACAAACACAAGCTTGTAACGCCAGTTACTAGACTCCATAGAGTAAAGGCCCATTTACACGATGCCATTTTCTTGAACATACAAGAGCAATAATTGAATGCAATAAATTGCGCGCAATAATTGTTTAGACCATTTCTTGTTTAGACCATGCAACTCATTTATTGCTTCAATTTAATTGTATACAACAACAGGCAAGAAACTGGCACCGTGTAAATGGGCCTTAAGTAGCTCGTTCAATGAGCGGTGTATACGCTTTTACAAAAACTTCCCAGTAAATGCGCAAAGCCTGCCTATTTAAGTTTCCATTTTACCAACAGGTTTAAGAAATTTCTTAAAGAAAAACTTTATAAAAAGGGTTATTATAATACAAATGAATACATTAATGACAAAAACCGCTGGGAATGAGTTGATCGCTCTCAAGCTATTCCTTAAAGGAAATAAAATCAGTTGTATAATATTTTAATTTTTTTTAATAAAAAAAAATTAATGACAAAAAAGGGGATACCTACGGAGTTTCTTTCGCCTGTTTCTTCTCCGCTAGAGGAGCCTCATTACGAAACGGTGGTAGATTAAAAAAAATATGACTATCGGAGATGAAATAACGTTTCTTATGTCGATGAATAAGTTGATTTTTGACAACGTTTCCTAGTCCCAAACTAAGCAACGCGTGTACCATGGGTACTCAAAATCAAAATCACACAAAAATTTTTCCAGTAGTGGGGATCGAACCTACACCCTCTGGCGCATGTGGCAGTACCAACTACGCTAATCATGTCATCATTTTATTTATATTTTTAATTTGATCATAGCAGTCTTCTTGATTGCAAACTGACTCTGCGATCGATTCAGCTTACACAGGAGCTAAAATTAAAGGTGATTTTCTTTAAGGTAAGAGAAGAGAATACAAAATATCTCCTTCACCAGATACCAACATGTAATATGGTAGACAAGCATTAGAACAGTCTAATGCTTAGACAGAAGACTAATGTCTAATGCTATAAACTAGAACAGTCTAATGCTTAGACTTAGGCAGAAGTCCATTCAGACAGTCAATAAAATTACCAGCAAACACCACACAATGTTTAACTGTAAACAATGACATATTAGGTATGTTTAGCTCCGGTGCCAATGGGACGTTGGTTCGATTCCCGTTACGGAAATTAACAAGTTGTGGTTGTTTCTTAGTGAGCAATTTATATACATAAAACAAAAAAATAAATATTATATATTTGGGAATAATGTTATTCTACAGACTATAAGAAAATAAAATTATAAGCTGCCTTTCTTATGTGTTGCCTCATTGAAAATAAGCGTCGTTTTAAAACAAAATTATTATCAATGAAATAAAAATTAAATATTAATCATCAAAACTGGCTTTGCCTTCTGCCTACATTGAATTTAACTGTTTCTCTTCGAAATAACAGATAAATTCAATGTAATGTATAATTTATTAGTAAATTATCTTCCTTAATACAGTTTATTTTATTTTTATTTATTTTATTATTTTATTTATTTTTTATATTTTTATATTTTTTATTTATAACGGTGATTGAGTTATTTCGATTAAGAGAGTTGCGAGTAGATACAGATAATTCTTTAGTAAAAATTTAATTTACATCTCTTGGGATATTGAATAGAATAGAATATATTTTAATGCACAAGGGGAAATACATAGAGAGAAAATACAGGAAATATAGTGTACTTACAGGCGGTCTTATTGCTACGGTAGCAATTTCTTTGCAACCTTAGGGTACAGGATATCCTTATCCTTACTAATATTATAAAGGCGAAAGTTTGTATGTATGCATGGATGTTTGTTACTCTTTCACGCAAATACTACTGAATTGATTTTAATGAAACTTTACAATAATACAGCTTATACATCACAGACATAGGCTATAATTTATATAAATTTTTTTATGTATATCTGTCTTCCTGTATTAATGTTACACCTTCAGCCTATTCTACGCAGACGTAGTCGCGGGTAGCAGCTAGTAGGTAATAAAGTAAGATATTGCGTTGCGAGTAGGGACGGGTTTTCCTTATTATAAGGTGGCGACGCATCTGCAACCCTATGGGTGTTGCAAATGTCCATGGGCGGTGGTTATCACTTAGTATCAGGTAAACCGCCACCTTGCCACCTTCGTATATAAAAAAAAACCAAGTGCGAGCCGGACTCGCACATGCGGGGTTCCGTATCTATGAAAACGACAAAAAACATGTCTATCGTATGGAAGCCCCACTTAAATACTTTTTATTCTGTTTTTTAGTATCTGTGAAAATTGCAACTGTCCTACGATCACGGTTCTTGAGGTACAGCCTAGTGACAGACTGACAGACAGGCGGAATCTTTGTAATAGTCCCGTTTTAACCCTTGCGTACGGAACCCAAAAAATATGGTGGAGGACAGTCTTTTATACCGTTAAGGCAATGATTTAATAAAATAAAAAAAATATTAGATTAATGTTAAAAAATTCTGAATAATGTTTTCGTTCTAGCCTAAATTAGATATATCTCCGTTTCAAGATAAAATATCTTGGTTTATATCTAGTAGGTTTTTACGGTAATGATCTGGTATCTGATGTTTATTGCCGTATTGTTTTTAACAGTTAATCTTATAAACGAATCTACATATAATGCGATAATTTGTATCAGAAAAATGATTGAACCTTTTAAGGAAGAATAACTTAAAGTTAAATATGTTTGTGATAAGAAACTTATTTAATTCCATCTAGAAGAGCAACACGTCAACTATCAGTATCATTTATTGGGTAATTATATTGTTATCTGTGGAAAGTCAAATAAAACATGTGTACCACTCACCCGTACGGAATAGATTAAGTTTTTATAGCTTTTTCACAGACACTTGTGCACAGCGTGTGGCATATTCACATGCACTGAAGCACTCCATTTATTTTAGCATAAAATTAAGTGAACTTGTTCCTATTACTTTGTGTAATCATAAATATAATCAGCAGTATACAAATTAGCGGAATACATTTATATCAGAATATTTGAAAACGGTTTTTTTGAACACTTCGTGATGTATAGACTACCACAGCCAAGACAATACTGGGATTTCCAGCGTCAAGGGGTGTGTTAGGGTGTCCTCATCGCAAGATATGTGAAATTTTGCTTTTATTTTATTTAGATAGCGAATTTGAAATGTTATTGATAGGAAATAAGTTTTCATAATATCTTATAAACTCCAAAACGCAAAATATATTAGCGGAGCACAATAATATGTCGTCGAAACATTTATGGAAATAATTCAGATAACTGTCACATGCAATAAATTGCAAAAGGTGATAAAGTGTTAAATAGTGCTTCATATTTCATGCTGTAGAAGAAATTCATATAGGAAAACCTAGTGCATCAATCTAAGTCAATAAAATTTCGCGTCCTAAGAGAAACTCGATAAAAGAAATATAAGAGCAGCTAGTCCCACTATAGCTACTTAGTATAAAAGTTTATTTATAACTTAGTATAATTTAGTCATTTGTCAGTTAGATGCGCTCTGAACACAGGCTCACGGACGCTACAACTTCAACATTTTAAGAGACGATTAAAATCTGCCTAGGTGGGACTAAAATTAATAATTCGGTAAACTGAGCTGACGGTAGCTCGAAATATCAATGACATTAAGACGCCTAAACGCGATTTAATCCATTAAAGTAAAGTGATAAGCCGTGATAGCTCAGTGTCCGGGCGCTTGCCTTTTATTCAATATACACGAGCAACCTGAGTTCGATCCCCGGTGCCGGCACCAATGAAGTTTTTAACTTTAAGTGCTGACTTATCACGTGCTCCGCGGTGAAGGAAAACATCGTGAGGAAACCTGCATATTTTTGAAATAATAACAAAAAAAAATATTTCGAAGATATGTGAAGTCCGCCAATCCGCAGTGGGGCCGCGTGGTAGACTATGCCCTGATACCTTCTGTATAGAAGAGGCCTTTGCCCAGCAGTGGGACATGTATAGGCTGTTACTTTTACTTTACTTTAAAGTGATAAAATAAAATAAAGTGTACTTAATGTCAGTGCAACATACACAAGAAATTACTAATTTTTTAAATCTAAAATATCTTGCGATGGACCGGTCCGCGCTTTTGCCAAACCATGGTCCGTTCACAATCGGCGCAACTCGTGGTAGGAGGCTGGGGTGTCTTCGCGCATGCGTCCCAACAAGGGCCAGCGAGGCGAGAGGCTCGGATGAAGAGTACACTCATTACAGATGCAATGGAATTCATACATCGACAAATTAGCTGCTCGTATCGATAAGGACGTGCGCTGTATTCCCGAATGGTTTGTCTTGGTACACCCCTCGGGAATGGCACGGCCGTTCCCAAGTTTTGCTACGCGGTCGGACGGCGCTGTACCCAGCCCGAGGTCAGACGGGCCCACCGTGTCAAGGTCCGGCCAAGTTAGGGGACGCCCGACGGACGTGAGCACGGCTGGGGTCGTGAGAGTGCCCGTGACGTTTTCACACTTGCCCGAACTTATTCGATATATCACGCTAAGCGAAGGGAACGTTCACGTATTAGATGTAATAAAATCAAACACCTCAGTTATGATAGTGCAATGTTATCCCTGATATTACTATACAAGTTATTAACTTGTATAGTTATATCAGGGATAACATTAGTAATATCAGCGATTACAACTATTAGTTACTAACGAGTGTAGTTTCGCCACTAAACTGTATTCTCAGTTTGGCGAACTTAATGTTTTTTGAAACAATTGTATTTTCTCTGTTAATAAATAAATTAAAAAAAAAGTTATTCTAATTCCACTTGGTTAACTTAACTTTGTATGTAAAGTTTGTATGTATTTAATTATTAATATAATATTTTTTCTAATTCAGATCCCGTATCATACACACCCAAAGTCGCTATGGATCAAGATTGTCAAACGAAATCTGTTATTGATCTTATCGCTTTCAATATTTGCTTTAGAATTCCCCACGCTCCGGTTAATTCACAGCATCCACGATCATGAGATAGACTGAGATTAATGTCATCGATAACCCGAGCTCAACTTTTTGATCTGACATTTGGCACTGACGGTTGGAGTGTGCAGTTTGTAATCACAACTTGGACCGCCTAGCCATAACATCACAGCCAAGGAACCATAAAAGGTGCAATTTAAAACTGTATGCAATAAGACGCTATAAAATTCATTATATAGTATCCTAAATGTGTAATAATAATTTCTGGTATTTTAATTAAGGTTTCTTAATAAAATTAGCAGAAATTATTGTCTAAATCAAAATTGTTAAAGATGACTCGGAAAATAATTATACTCTAAATCACTGATCTATTCCTAAGGTTTCTTGATGATAAGGATGCCAAAAATGCGTTTAAACGCGTTTTCTTTGCACGTCGCAATAACAGAAAGGATTTTAGTATTTTTGAAACTATGTGTGTTTTTTTTAAAAAACAATCCACTGAGATTATTTTAGTTTACTGCAACTTTTATACCTGGTTATTAATACTTAATTTTGGTAATTCTTACTGGCTTCAGATTTTAAATTGACGTGTTGAACTCTCGATGAGATATACCAACGTCATAACACCAGCCACCGTGGTAATTTTGATTTGTAGTTTCCTTGATTTAAAAAGTCATCGAACATCCAACGTCTATAAACTGGCTTTACAATCGTAATAAACCTAAAGCGTCGACTACAAAAAACTTGTGCATGAATTGACGTTAATTCAAGAAAAAATGTTTTTTTTTTAAATTAGAAGGTGGCAGCCGATTACTTGCCGTCAATCGGCCTTCTATATTTTATCTCCAAGTAAATCGGCCTTCCATGAACATATACACAATATACATTTCCCTAATTTAGGTATACTGTAGTGTTGTTTACAAAGTATAATAGTTTCCCAAACCACACATTTTTCGATCATATTCTTTTTGAGATTGATTGAATAACGAAAAACAATGCTATTTTCAACACAAGCAAATTATGTTGAAAATAGCTTTGTGAGGCAGAGTTTGTAACTTGATTCCCGGTAAGACTTATACTTTTAAGGGGTCAAACTCACGCAAAACTGTTAAGCTCCACCGATAATTACTGTACTATCTAAAGAATCTTCCGTTGGCGTTTTTAATGTATATAAACGTTCCTACAACAATAATATCAACAGTATAAATTGCTTCCTTCCCTGAAGTTCTGTTCTTCTTACGTGAAGTACGATGACACTGTGTTTGGGAGTTTTCGAATGATAAAGATCCAATTTTAGCACAAAGTTTGATTAGGTACGAACCAGCCATAGCCTCTTTAACAGATTTGTTTAGTAAATTAATAAATTTAATGAGGTCCATTGGCAATAAGAAGGTGACGGTCGATCCACAATTCATAATTTTAGCATTTCTTTCCAGAATTAAACTAATAAAGCAACACAATAAACGAGGCAATGTTTTCCATTGTACCAATTTGTAATTACATAAAAGATGACGTTGTTCAACATTTAAATACCCAAATGCAGAATTTGCAATAAGGTTTGAGGATGTTTTGAATATGATAATGCCATGTGGATGATCAAACAATTTAGTGAATTAAAGGAACGGATGTCATATTACAAGAGAAACCGATCAGAATAAGCACTAACGAAGAACAGAAGAACTTTAGAAATCGATATTCGGCGAGGTTGCCAATATTGTAATAAAAAAAAATATAAAGAAATAAAAAAACTGGATATCATTTACCGAGAAGATTTGAGATTAAACCTCACTAAATTGACACCAAAAATTAAAAATTTATTATCAAAGTGCCAGGGGGGGGGAACTCCCTCATGTTCCTCCTACCTCCATCCCAAAAATAATTTTCTTTTACTTATAGATTTCGTGTGATGGATGGCTACCTACTTAGTTTTAATATGTATAAGAGTTCTAACGTTTTAACCTTGATCCTAATATTTTAACTATAACCGAACTTGAATATTAACAACTATTGTAACGACAAGCAGCACTAGTGGTTATATCACCGTCCGGGAACGCAGCCGAAATCCAAGTGACCACTGCTCCATGCGACCATGTGTCCCTTGGCTCGGGTAGATAACGTCATATCCGGTATACAGTGTTGCCAGCGCCAACATTTAGTTCGTTTTTATAAATTATTTACGTGATAAATAGGTACCTACTTAGTTTTAATTTGGTTGTTTCGTTAAATGTATAAAAAAAGTCCTGCCTCTATACCTGTACAGTTAGAAATCAGTCGAAATACATTTGAAGTAGAAGAATTTTTAAAAATGCAATATTACCTTAGCAGGGGGTCTACCCAAAATTGGATAAACATGGCAAGAGGTCCAAAAGATAATAAAGTTTGGGGACTCCGGTTTTCTTTGTGGTTTCTTCGGAATTTTTGTCAATCAATCAAAAATTTCAGATTTCTTTAAAGAACCTTTTAATAAAGTGGGCCCCGGCTACCTTACTCAGCAGACGAAACGCCGAAGTATAACAATTCCACTTCATACCGGTCTTCTGTTCGGTCGTGGTACTTTTCGGTGACCCGCCGGTCCGTCCAGAAAAGTACCACGCATTCTTACAACAGCGAAATATTGTGTGGCCCTACCACAATTCCCGTGATGCTACGAAAATGTACATGATCTGATATGGTGGTTCGCATCTTCATGATCAACACAACAATTACTTCGTGGCAAGGGATTTTTACAGCAAAAGAAAAGAAACTTTATATCAGTATTAAGTATTCTTTAAACTAATCATTCTTAAATGTACGAGAGTATTTGAGTTTCCGCAGCACGTTTTTCTACCGACGTCTTGACATTGCATCATAGAGTAAATGTTTGTCCAAGAATCACTTCGAGTTGAGCTCCGATATAAGTATATGAACTCCTTTTAAGATCTATAAGCATTATAATTTAGCAAATATTCACAGAAAATTCCTTGCCGCTTCTTATAATAAACGCGAGTCATCATTTATATGACGACACGAAAACTCCACGCCAACGGTCAAGACGAGTTCTGCACGTAAGTGCTGTTGTCCCGATCAGGTCGGCGGACAAACTTCAGACTCAGCTTTCCGATTGGATTCGTGACGAAGGCCGTTGGGTCGAACTTGATGTCCACGGGGGTTTCTTTCGCTGCCTCCACACGGTACTTGCTGAATAACGTCACCAGCCCTGCCATTATCTGCATCCACGCGAAGCGTATCCCTGCAAATGCGGGAGGATTTACTTGACTAAAGTAAGGACTAAAGAAGAAAAAGTCTAGGAGTATATTTTACATTTCGTGGGTGGTTCGTTGACATTATTATAGACGACTAAACCTAACAATGAACAGTTCTCAAATGAAATGTTATTTTTGTTATTTATATCAAATTATTGACGTAGACGGTGGAGTGTCGCGATAAAGCTTATCTGTGAAGTGTTGTTCAAAGTTTTTTATTGTTTATAATAAACACTATGTGAACCAAAACATTGATAATAATAAATCTTAGAAATAACAAATCATGCGCTTTAAGATAAGAAGATATTAAATTTACTAAGAGACTTCCTTTAGCCATAGCAGAATTTGTCCGAATAAACTCAAATTATGAACGTGTTGATACCAGTTGCTCTAATTTTTAACTTGTTACGTTATTATTAATAAAGGTGGCAATTGTGAAGAGTTGAGGCTCGCGTTAACCAAAAAGTGATTGCTTAGGTAGTTGATTTGCTTTAATGTTTTGATAATATCCTTACCTATACAAATCCTTGGCCCTTCCCCGAAGGGCAAATAGGTAAAAGGCTTTATGTTATCCTTTTCGTTGCCAAGGAAACGTTCCGGCCTGTATTCCTGGGGCTCCGGGAAGTTCTCCGCTGAATTGTGGAGGTGGTAGATCGGGATGTGCACGCGCAACCCTTTATCCAGGTGCACTCCCGACGGCAGCGTGTAGTCCTCGACCAGTTCCCTGGTGATGACACCGAGCACTGGATACATCCGGAGCGTTTCGCGCACGCACGCTTCTACGTAGGGTAGCTCTTTCACGCACTCGTAGGCAACTTTCCCGTCGTGCTTTTGTAGGTAACCGTCGATTTCGGCGACGACGCGCGCCTGCACCGCCGGGTTCATCGCCATCTGGTACAGGGTGAAGCTCAGCGTGGTCGCCGAAGTCTCGTAGCCGGCGGCGAAGAACAGGACGCACTGGCCGGTCATCAGGTCGTCGTCGAGCTCCAGCCGAACCCTCTCCTCCCCGCCGGTCTTCAAGTTCCTGATGCTGTCCCCCACCATGTACCGGTTGCGCTTCAAGTTCAGAATGAGATCGACGAAGTCGTTCCTGTTGGACGGCTTTTGCTGCCGGCTCTCGAACACGTTCAGCAGTAGGCCCTTGAAGAAGTGCACTATCTCGTCGGGGAACACTTTGTTGCGGAGCGCGTAAAACAGCGAGGGCCACATCGCCCTGGCGAACAGCTTGACGCCGCGGTTCGTGGAGTTCTCGAATATCTGTTCGCCGATCAAGCAGAAGGGGTTGACCGCGTCGGTTTTCTTCATTGTGTTCGTTTCCACGCCGAATGCGCAGGAGCTGATGCAGTCCATCGTGTAACGCGCCATGAGCGAGCGCGCCTCCGCCACCGGCGACTCCGCCGTCTCGTATTCGAGCATCTCCTCCAGCTGGCGAGTGCACTTCTCGATCAGATGGAACATGTTCCTCATTTTCGCCGACGTGAACAGCGGCGTCAGGTTCTGCCGTATCACCCTCCACCTGTCGCCGTGCGTGAAGAACATGTTCTGCGTCAACGGCTCCCGTTTCGTGTAGTCCGCCACCTCCCTGCTGTTGAAGTAGTAGAAGTCTTTTGTGAGGACCGTTTTGATCAGCCCCGGGTCCCGCAGTATCAGGGAGGGCTGGGTGCCGTAGAAGGCGCCGACTAGCTCTGCCCCCGGGAACTGCTCGCAAATCCTGTGCGTCACGACCGGAGCGTGCTCCCTCATCATGATGTAGTCGTAATAGTTCCCGAACAGCGGCAAAGGCTTAATGTACGGCACTTTTCTCCTTTTCCAATAGTCATACTTACTCGTTGTCATGTAATACAGAAGAAATATTACAGTTGCCACACATATTACGGGTAAAAGCGGCAGCATTTGCGCGCGTTTCACGATTCTGCCAGTTTCAAAATAAGCTCGAAACGAAGCCATCTTTAGTTTTATATACACGCATGAAGGTCAACCGCTACTTAGATTAGAACAATCACGTACAAAACACGTGGCAGATTTTGTTTATTAGTAAATCCGGTTGTAGTAGATAAAACGAATGAATGTGCGACAGAAGTGTTTCACTTGTTCGCAGTTCACATGTAACTGTCAATAACTATGAGTACTTGTTAAGAACATTAAAAGATAAACGGCTTACGGGTATACAATACATTCGTGTCTGTAACGAAAGAGAGGATAAAGTCATGGCATGACTTGACTCAACAAGTATAATACTTCTGCAGTTTGTCCAACCAAGTGAGTAAAGATAAGATTTAAAAAAACCGGACTTCAAACCGGAAACTAAAATAAAGAACATCGTCAATTTCTATAACATTTGAGGATTGCTCTCGATTTCTCTGGGATGCCATCATCAGATCCGGGTTAAAGAAATATTAAAATAAATAAAAAATATTAAAATCGGTTCATAAACGATTAAGTTATCCGTGAACACACACAAAAAAAATAAAAATATATTCGGTCAAATTGAGAAACCTCCGTCTTTTTTGAAGTCGGTTAAAAATAAGTAATATCGTTTAACAAATCTTCCAGAAGCGGTGTTTAATTTTTTTGATGCTAAGAAGATATAACTTTAGTTTTGGCACGTTTGGGAAAAAATTTCAGAGTGAATTTTTACAGTGCACACCAACATAACGATGTTACCATGGCAACTAAAACCATTAAACTATAATTCCAAGTTAACTAAACCGTAAAATACACATGTTACGGTAATTTCTGTTAAAATTTATGTAATTTAGTTACTCGCGCTTAAAATTTAATAAAACCAGCCTGTCATTATATGTTCCATGCTATTAATTGATAAACACATAAAAGTTGGAAATTCGAAACTAAAATGAGACAGTTATCTGTTTACACTTTTTAATACAACGTTTTTTTAGGTTGTTTGTGTGTGTGTGTGTTTTTTTTTAAATAAAACATTGAACTTACTTTATGATAACATTTTCCTGTGTTGTAAAGACGTTTAACAAACACAAATTTCACACGGACAAACACACAGATGCGAAACAACTATCTGTGGGTCACACAATTAGTTGTCCCGTGTGGCTATAGAACCCACGACCCTCGACGCCGAAGCCAATAATAATACATTACTTAAAGTCATTACTTCATCATGCGGCATATTTTTATTTCTCCGAACTTTCATCCGATTACGTGTATGTAAATATGTTGTTATAATGTTGTACCCGAACGGCGTACTGGGTAGTATACCTTCTTCCGGCGCCAGAGGGTGGGGGTTCGATCCCCACAACTGGAACAACATAGTGTCTTTTTGTTGCCTGGGTGTTTATATTTGTATAATATGTATTTATTTAATAAGAAAAGTATGTTTAAGTATGATTATCAGTTATCTAGTACATATAGTACAAACGTTGCTTATTTTGGGACTAGAGAACGATGTGTAAAAATATGTCCTAAAATATTTATTTATTTAATCCTTACTAATTTTCTACGCACTAACTTTTTGTTAAATAATACTAATTTACGGAGTTTTTGTGTTTAAATACTGTCTATAATGTGTCAAAACAAACACTAGATGTATGAACGTGAATAGCGTGATAAAAAAGTGTGTGTGTATATATGTATGCACGTGATAACTTATACTTCTTTAGGGTAACATAAGAAAAATTAATATTTATTATGCAACTGCGTTTGTTTTTATTTATTTTACAACACTTACCCCATTCTCCACGGCAAAAACATATATAAAATACGAACACCTGGTGGTTATAAAAGTCGTTGTTTCTTAAAGTTTTAATAACTTTACGTTAAATAAAGATATTTCAATATTTCTCTAGATAAGCGCCAAGTGTCTAAATAATAAAATTTAGCTGGAATTGAAATCTTTTCAGTAGTTTGAGTTTTTCCATGATCGGCGAACAACGACATGAATATTATTTTTTTATAAGATGAGGAACATTCGTGAAAACACAAAAATCATTATGTTGCAGCTTTTGATTTCGCTTTGGTTTGAATCGGCAGGTCCGTCCAAAGAAGCATCAACGAAGATGCTCGACGTCTTCTACATTTCGCATGATGAATGAGGTTCCGGAGCCCAATTTTCAAAAGGTTGCCAAAGCATCCGCAACCCTCGGGTGTAGCAGATGTCCATGGGCGGCGTTATTCACTTAACATCAGGTGAACCGCCGGCTCGCTTGGCAACTTTGCACATAAACAAAAAAAAAGGGAACCGGACAGGTAACTGTTGGCGATGATAATCGCCGAAAACCTGAATAATGTCTCACAAAAAATCTAGTGGATATATTAAAAAAAATCTATGCATGCAACTTAAAATTAATACCATAGCTCGTTTGTAATAAATACAGTTATAGATCGCAGAATGGACATGACTTCAAGGTTAGTATAATTTGTAATAACTAGTATAATTTAGATTTTAAAGTGTAATTCCTCAATAAAAATATTAACTAATTTTAACGACATGAAACGTTTCAATAAAAACAGTGGTATGAAATGAAAATAAATAACAGGATACGTTAACGCTAAAGTTACAATTACGCCGGTTTAGCGTTTAATCCTGGCACGTACGCTTCTGACTAAACAAAAACGTGTAAACACTTTAAACAAGGGGCCTCATTCGGCTTGATAGTTCTTCGGTTTCAAGTATTTTTTAACAATAAAATTCATTATCATCATCATAATTTCAGCCTGTTGGAGTCCATTGCTGAGCATAGGCCTCCCCCGAAGACTGCCACGAAGCGCGATCCTGAGCCACCTGCATCCATCGACCTCCCGCTCATTTGCACGTGTGGGGACTTCCTTACATACCACTCACTCATATCATATTACACACATTTACACATACACACATATATTTATTATAATTCTTACACAACAACTTAAACAAATATTATTCAAACATACAACACGGCACACTTAAATTTATTATATATATCACACCGCGGCGCGCTTAGGCTATTGTAAACAAAGAACCGGTCTGTGTGACGTCATTCGGTGGCTCGGCCGTCGATCGGCTGCGACCGCGCATCTCACGTCTAACGAGTCAGTTACCTGCTATCCGCTTATGCGACGCGAAGTCTGTAACGCTCCAACACTCTCCGGCTATTTCGTAAACCATCTGTGTTAATATTTGTAAGAACATTGCTGTTTGTGCTTTTCCTTCTGCTCTGGACTATCTTGCTTCCTTCTTTCTTTGTATTGTGGACAATAAAGTGTGTAAGTGACGTATATACTATTTCTTCCTTTCTCTTCGCTTTCATACTGCTGAATAAGCTACCACAACCCACAACTGGTGACCCCTTCAGGACACAAATTAAAGTACGATGAGCAGTAATAGTGATTCGGTGGAAACTGCGCCCGAACAGAACGTTACCACGCGTCCATGTTCAAAGCGCAAACAAAGAACGCACGTGGAAATTGCGTCAGACGTGAACCGAATGACTGTGCGAATACCGCCATTTTGGCCGGACGACCCGGAGTTATGGTTTGCACAAATTGAGGGACAATTCGCTATTTCACATATAACAGCAGATGACACGAAATTTTACTACGTGACGAGCAATTTAGAGGCACAATACTCCAAGGAGGTTAAGGATATAATCATATCCCCTCCACCGCGGAACAAGTATGAAAAACTTAAAGATGAGCTGATAAAGCGACTTTCGGCATCACGTGAACGAAAAATCCAGCAGTTATTAATGCATGAAGAGTTGGGAAACCGAAAACCATCCCAATTCTTACGTCACCTGCAGAGCTTGGCCGGACCATCAGTACCTGAAGACTTTATTCAGAGCATCTGGAGCAGTCGACTTCCAAGTAGTATACAAACGCTGATAGTTTCCCAACCATCCAGTTCATTGGAAGCTTTAGCAGACCTGGCAGATCGAGTCAGTGACATAGTATCACCAACTCTCCAAGTTGCAGCAGCTACGTGTTCTGCACCAACACCTGGTTCCAGCATGCAGTCAATGGCGAACGAAATTGCTGAGTTAAAAGCGGCCGTTAAGAATCTCACCATGCAGCTTAACAGACAGTCAAGAACACGTGACCGTACTTGTAACCGCAATCGCAGACGTTCAACATCGCGATCGAACTCCAGCTACAGAAGGTATCCAGTATGCTGGTACCACTCAAAATTTGGATCCAAGGCGAACCGGTGTATCAAGCCATGCGACTACGGCAAGGCGGGAAACGCTCAGAGCGGTCGGTAATGGCGACCGACGACCGCTCAACCTCATCGGGTCGCCTCTTCGTCACCGACCACAACACGCAGAAACAATTTCTAGTAGATACTGGTAGTGATGTATGTGTTTTTCCGAGATGTGAATTGCGTGAACTCCGTTCTAAAACTCCATATCAATTGACAGCAGCAAATGGTAGTATAATTAATACATACGGGTATTTACAACTTAATTTAAATTTAAATTTACGCCGTAATTTTATATGGAATTTTATTGTTGCTGATGTAAACAAAGCTATAATAGGCGTAGACTTCCTTAGCCATTATAATCTTATTATTGATGTAAAAAATAAACGCCTAATTGATAATTTAACTTCTATGTCAACTATTGCTTTTAAAGATAAACAATGTAAAAATGTATTTTCTGTTAAAGTACCTATTGGCGACACACAGTACCATTCTATTCTTTCTAAATACCCGGAAATCACTCGACCTGCTGGCACACCACGCACACCTGCACACAACACCGTACACTACATCAACACTACACCTGGACCCCCAGTATCATGTTCCCCTCGCAGGTTGGCTCCTGACAGACTGGTGATAGCAAAGCGAGAATTTGATCTGATGCTGGAAATTGGGACGGCGCGTCCTTCTG